AATAAAGAAATCGTTAAAAGATGCGGGAAAAAATCACAGCATGTCACGAACATGCCGGCAAGTCAGAGAGAGTACGAAATAGTGTGCATTTGGTGGAGTGCGACCTGCCGGCATCTCGTCGTGGTAAGGGCACGACGAGATGCCGGCAGGTTGCACTCCACCAAATGCACACTATTTCGTACTCTCGCTGACCTGCCTGCGAGATGCCGGCAGGCTGAAAGCGAGATAGCATCTCGATTTTCGACAAAAATAGATCGCGAACCTGCCGGCAGGTTCACACTTCGCGCCTAATAAAAGGCAAATGAGGGCATTTCTTGAATTTTTTTTCAATCCCCATACTAATTTAATGAAAAAACTAAAGTATCACAGCAGAAAAAGGTGATTTGTCTGGCTTGCGAGTCTACGTAGGGAGTTGGAAATTCTGGCGACCTCAGGTCGAGATCAGGGCGACCTGCCGGCAAGACATGCCGGCAGGTAGGGTGGATTACTACGGGCCCTGATGATAACATTTTAAACTTGATCTGCCTCGGGTGTAGGAGGCGGCTCTTTATAGAACTCAGACAATCACAGGCTCTCAGCGGGCCCCACCAAAAGCGTCGTTGCCTTATCGCAGCCACTGTCGCTTCCCGCTGAGAGCTTTGTCGGAGCTTTGTCGGAGCTTGTCGGAGCGGGCTCGCTGCCCGCTGAGCCCGCTCCGACAAGCTCCGACAAAACTCCGACAAAGCTCTCAGCGGGAAGCGACAGTGAGGCGATGAGGCCACCGCGCTTTTGGTGGGTCTAGGCGGTGGCTTTGTGGCTGCCGGCTGAGAGCATTTGATTGTCTGAGAATGGGTTTTCTAGATCTCTGATCGAGTAAGTGTTGCTATACGGCGAAGTATTGAGCGAGCACATTTGAGCAACGATATCATTTTAGTAGACATACCAAGCGCGAACATCAAAAGAAAGCTTGTACGCAATAGACTTTATGACAAATTTTGCATTACAAAAGAATGCAGAGTTTGTCCGTATGGCAATGTTGGCGACTGCGCGAAAGTTGGAGTGATTTACCAGATAAATTGTATAGCATGCGGCGCGTCCTACATTGGAGAGACTGGAAGATTGCTAAGTGTTAGACTTAAAGAACATCTAGCCGATAAACGACGTGGCGGTCTAAACTGGAGGACGCGCAGGAGGAACCAAGAGTATGCCGCCGCATAGCCAGGAGACTTCTAGCAGCCATGAATAGGCTCCGCCCATTGCCCCGCCCACGAGATGCTCACAGTGTGCGCTGAGCAGGAACAGGAGACAGACCACGGAACTGGGAGCAAATCACAATGAGTAGCAGTTCAAAGCTAAGGTTAAAGTTCAAAAGAGATTGATTTTCGATAACTACTTCCAAAAATAAGTTTTTGTAGACCAAAAATTTATGGATGCCACAAATGGTTAGGAAGAAAATAAAGATTTGGACATAAAATGATTGAAATGTTTACCACTTGAGAGCAAATTCAAATTACACAAACTGACATGCTAGTACAAATAATAAATAAGAGAGCTTTTCCTCGAGGTTGAAAACATTGAAAAAGTGTTTGAAAAATACAACGCAATTTTGCATAAAGAGCAACAATAGTATTGAATAAATTATGACTGTCCATATCCCTCAATTGAAAACCTTTTGAATGAAGACACGCAAATATGCGAGAGAAAGCTCAGTACCTGTCAGTAGAGTTTCACAGATCAGATTTGAGGTGTGACACTATCCTCCATGCAACCGATGGCAGTTATTAGGACATGACTTTGGGAAAGTCGAGCATTCTTGTATTCGAGGAAAAACGTTGGAAAAGTTTTCCAACGCATCATGTCTTTCATTGAATCTTTCATTGCCGCTTTCTATTTTTCGATTTCTTTCCCAGCAAATCTCCTTGTGAGCTTCTACAAATTGTTTGACTTCACAACTCTAATGCTTTTAATCAGCGATTCACGTATTATTTTCGAAAGTCCACCTTACCTCGGAAAAAGACTAGTTTAACGCACATTTTATGAATATTTATATGTATACAATTATTTTTTACTCATTTTTTCGATTTTCTAAAGTTTATAACTTACTCCCTCCGTTTTCTTATTCCATTTCCCAGATAAAATGTTGCAAATACAGTTTTCTAGGAACAAGATTTCTTTAGCTAGTCTTTCTTCTCAGATATGTGAGATCTTTTCTTTTCAAACGTTTGAGACAGATATGGCTCTGCATAGGTCAACTAATCGCCTATCGATTAGCGCTAGCTGCGGTAACACAATCGTTAGTGTCAAAATAGTGTAAAAGAATGAGAAAATTATTTCAGGAATAATAGACATTTGTGTTTTTTGTATCGATGTCTTATTTGAGAATAAAACCCATTTTCTTTTCTTTTTTTTTTGATTGTTTCTTCAAAAAAAAAATAATGGAACAGAAACATTGTCATGACAAGGACATAGAATCTACCTGTAAAATTCTGCGCTTGTATAATCATTTTATTAATCAACACCTTGTCATTGTTGCTCTGTCATTATTGCTAAGCATATTAGCTCATAATTTGGCGAAAAGTTATAAAATATCAATCTGGTAGATTCGCTTCAATGTAAAACCATACAAAAGTCCATTCAAAAGATTGGCCTTTCAAAACTGGTCACAAATTTGTTTTTGCCTTCCCTGGATCTCCACTCCAAGTCTTTTAAACTAGACTTTTCCTTCAAGGAAATCCTGAGCAAAAAAGGCAAAACCCAGGCTCGCGCAAGGGGCGGAGCTTGGGAGGTTGCCAGATCCTTCTTGGCTCGCAGCCAGCTCCTCCCCTTTCCCCCAAGGATACAAGCGGCGAGGCCTTTGGTTCCTCCTGCTACGCCGCCGTCTAAACTCACCACTCGGGAAACATAGGCATGAACAACATGGTGATGCAGACTATGACATCAAGTGCACGATTTTGGCTTGCGAGACTAACACATCTGCGCGAAAAACTCTCGAAGCATTCTATATCTCACAGAGAAACCCATCGATGAACAACAGAAAGGAATGTTTAACGATCACGAATGACTTCATGCCGTTTATACCGCTATGTGAGCTATAAACAGTAGTGATTACACCGACCCATAAGCTTCCTAAAATGGCTTATTGGCACTACTGACACCAAAGGACGTGGTTGCACAATACCATCAGTGCTCCACGGTGAAGCGAAGCAAGGGTTAGTTCGTCTTTCACTTTCTACGAGTATTGTTAGTGAAATCAGTGGGGGTTCGAAACTAGCTTGACGTCGATAAGGCATTTGGTGGGGTAGAGTACAAGATCAAAATCTCGCACCACTTTAGGCCTCTGAAGACGACGATAAGTCGAAACGTAAGGCCGCAATAAAGAGCTTCACCAAACCTCGTATGGCATAAGAAAACATTATCACATACTTCACGATGCCGAGGTTTCAACAAAAGAGGACAAGCCAACTACTAACAATCATATAAAACATTTATACTTACATATTCCCCTATTTGTAACACCCCCTTTTTGAACGTAATATCGGGACATTTTCGATGAGATTGTAGATGGTCTTCGCGTATGTATTTGCGGATATATAAACTGAATCTCTTAATTTAATATTGAAAATTTACTTCAATAGCATGCATTACACTCACCCTAATCTCTCGGTTTCAGATACCTTTAAGGTTTGTTCGCGATTGATGCGAATGTCCTTGTTGTTTTCCTTATTGTAGTTCATTAAAATTGTGCGCCCTTCAGTAATATTCGCCAGAATTCATAAGAAACCTTGGCCTGTAAAACTCCTTTCCATCAATTTTCTTTACCCAACTATTTTCTTACTCTTATGGCCTGGATTTTGTTGTGCACACCAGCTGCAACTGACCAAGAGAAAGCCAGTGATTTTTCAGAAGAATATCTAAACTATTGTAATTTATTTATTTTATTCTGTTTATCAATACTGATTTATTTCTTACTTCAGAATATTGACTGCAAAATCCTGGAGAACGCGGTCGAAAGGTTTTTTTCTAGGATTGTCTAAACCGGTGATACGAACCCATTCAATTAAAACTTTTTTATTTACATATCCTGGTATGCTTCCTTTCTTTCATCCTTTTTCTCATCTTTCCTTTCATTCTTTTCGGCCATTTCTAAACAGAAAGGTATAAAAGACTTTTTTTTTCAATAATTTCATCAGATTTACGAGATATTCCAGACTATTTCCACATACAATTTTGGAATTACAATAAAGTAATAATGCACACACTGTTAAGAATAATCGGACAGTGATCAAGAATAATTTTTCGATCTCGAATTTCAAATTATTGCTTACAGAAAATATGTTGGAACATTCCTATATTCTCAGAATTCTAACTGGAATGAAATTTGATAGAATTTGATTGTTGACTGCTGGCACAGAATTAGGTTAACGAATATCCAAATAAAATTTTTGAAAAGTTGAAACTGATTTTGTGTAACTCGACGGATTACTGACATAAGAACAAAACAAGTTCTAAAACTATAAGTTCTAGCACGAAAATAAGTTCAAAAATCTTGTGATCTGACTTCTAGCATAAAAGTCAGGATATATTGAAAGTAGACTTATAAACAGAAAATTGGAGATCCGTTAACCTTTTGAAGCCAAAACACAGTTTTGGACTTAGCTCGTCCAGAGAATTCGAAAACGATGAATATCCCAAAGTTGTCATTCTGCCGAGCCGCTGCCTTTAAATAGAAAGAAATGAATCTGGGTAAAGAATTCCTAACTCGAAAAGTTGTATACAGCAAAAAGGTCTTTTCAGCAGGATTCTTCAGTTATTATCTCAACCCAAGCTTATAACATCACAGGGTGATGACAAAATAAACTTACAAATTACTGAAAAAATCGTAGTCGCATTCGTCTAGAAACCGTTACATGGAACTGATGCTCAGAAGATTTTTCGCCATCACCACGCATACAATTAGCAGCTTTTTTATTATAAGCTACTCTGCAAAAAAAAAGTTCCCATCTCGAAAATGTCCATTGCAGGAAGCAATTTCTTTCCCTTCACGTTGGTCCGAAAACTCCTGCAATTGGAAACTTTCTAAAAACAACATGCGAGGAGGAAGAGGAATCTGAGGTAAGCAAGAGATTCCAAACCTGTCGTGATGAGTTTGAATTCTGAGTTGAAGGTAAAAAAGAGGGCACGTATACGAGCGTCAAAAAAGACTTTGCGACGAACAAAACATGCTGCGCCCAATCGAATCGTGTTGACTCTGAAAGCGAGAGGAAAAGGAAAGAGACAAGGCGGTCTAGAAGATTTGGAAGGATTAGGAATATGCTTGGGTTTCCTAATGCCAGCACTCAGGGATAAGCATCCAAATAAAAACCTTTCTATACATATCCACACAGCGCGAGCACCGTCAATCATCTTCAGCGCCGCTCAAGGAGGTTGGTTGATTTAGCAGTTGGTAAACACCTTTTCGCATTAAATAAAGAAACGTTTTCTGAACCGCTTTTCAGGCAAGTTGACACTTGATCTCGTCTTGGATGCAGACATCTATATAGATGGAACTGATAATCGGGTAAGTGACACTGAACCGAAGAATGGCTATTTATGGAGTAAGTGAATGAGTGCATCATGCGATTACCCCCAAAAAGTAATCCCTCCACACCCCCTATATGCAGGCATACAGGGTTTCCAATAAACTTCGGTCGCAGTAACTTCGTTTTACATCACTCTAAAAGTTTGTAGAAACCGTAGACACTCCGCGATATGATTTTTTGTCAGTTTTTAGTGCCAGAATCTACACTTCCCTTGCAGCTTATTGCATCTAATACGTAAAAATTTGAAGTGTAACAAGACTTATGTAACAACCTAATATATTAGGTTGTTTCAAAAGTTATAGGCATCGTCCAGGCAGATCTGGACCTATGGGGCTTTTACGTGGAAAGTACTTTTGGGGCCCTAACTAAGGCACTGCCCAAGCGGCAGCTCAGGAAGTGCTGGAATGGCTGAGATATTCCCCTCGAAACTGGACCCCGCGACCGTGTTTCGCATGGATTCATGGCGCAAAGCGTGGATCCCGCTCAGACAATCGCCGGGGGCAGGCGGGCACCGGAAAAATAGATTGCTGATCTCTCGCACCCCGCTCGCGGATTTTTTGCAAAGCAAACAGGACTTTTCGGAAGACCACTTGCTGAGTTCTCGATTCCTCAGAGATTCAGCAATATATCTGCAGAAGATAAGAGCGAAAAAAAAATTCAACAGGCGGTCTCTCAAAAATCCGCTGACTCAGCAAGCGGTCTTCCGAAAAGTCCTGATTGCTTTGCAAAAAATCCGCGAGCGGGGTGCGAGAAATCAGCAATCTACTTTTCCGGTGCCCGCCTGCCCCCAGCGATCGTCTGAGCGGCGCGAGACTGCCATGAATCCATGCGATTACGTTCGCGGGGGCCAGTTTCGAGGGGAATATCTCAGCCATTACAGCACTTCCTTAGCTGCCGCTTGGGCAGTGCCTTAATTAGGGCCCCAAAAGTACTTTCCACGTAAAAGCCCCATAGGTCCAGATCTGCCTGGACGCTGCCTTTATGTCCGAATCGCGATTTTTCCATCTAAAATCTTGTAACTTTTTTCAACATCAATAATTTTGAACAGATTGAATTTCTTTGGATTAAGCGAGTTTATGGCTATCACAAGCATTGTATGCCATGTAAGGAAGGCAAGCGAGAGATTAGAAAATTTTTCAAATTCTGCAAGGTTTTCTTCAAAACCGTGTAGTTTGACTTACTGGTGCTTCCATATGAGGATGGGCAGACATATTTGACTGCCAACATTGAGTAGCGTATATCAGAGGTTCTTTTGCGGCTAAAGAGAATTTGAGTTATTCGCTGCATAGAGTGCGAGCGAATCAAAAAAAAAACCATTAATCGAGCCCTCCTCCGCGTGCGAAAATATGCCACTTTCTAGTAATTGATTTTTCTTGCTGTCGCAAATGAAGAAAGCCAATTAGCCGATGATTCCTGCTTGCTCTCACTTTGCTCTAACATATGCATTATTGCAATATTGCATTACCTGTCACTATATGTAGATTGTTGTCACTTGTTAAATAATTCATTTGTCTTCTATCTTTGAAAAAAAACTGAAGAAGTAGGACATTCTCTTCGTCAGAAAATTGTGCTTATTCTAGCCCATTACACCCTCACCCATTATAAAAAATTACATATTCAGTTCTACAAATATTGCGGATCTCTTCATGGAGACTTTTTCTTAGGCATGACTGCATTTTTGGCTTTGCTTCGGGGCTTGAAATTTCATTACTGAAAAGATGGTTCGGCAAGCATCAGTGAGTAGTAGAAAAAGCAGGAAAAGTACCATTAGATGATGTTCATGACAATGACATAAGTGCAAAACCCTGAGAAATTGGCTGCGTTAAAACAAGGCAATTAAAAATTGGACAGAACTCTTGCAACAGCCTAACATTAGCACATAAGTGATGCAACTTTTTGTACAACTTCAGTCTCGACGAAAATAGCGCATTCATTTTACGGCAATATAATGATTATGTTGTAAACTTCAAAGCAGACATTTTTGCCGAATTTTACCATCTTGTGTAAGGGTTACGGGTAGGTTTACGGTATAATGGGGAAATTTTTAGACTGCGTCAGATTTTGCTAAAACTTGGCTTATGGAGGTTATTCGACATGCTGATCACATGAATGAAAACCGTTTCGCATGAACAAGGCCTTCTCGTAAGGCCAAAAAATGAATTTCCATTTAGCGACAAATGAATATAATACTTGTGTTTACCATATAGAATTACCCTATTATGCAAAGTCTTAGCAATTTCTGACTTTTCGCAGCCTATTTATTGACAAGTAGCCCTCCAAACTTAACGAATTTAGCTTGTTCAACTTCTCAAAGGCGCCCTATCATGATTTGTCCTTGAATTTCATTTATTTTTTTACTGATTCTGATGCAGCTTCATGTTTGCCATAAACCAAGAACTTGATTTTTAGCAGTTTTCGAAGAATATTTGAGTTTTTTCTTTATCAAAAATCAGACGATTTGTACAGACTTGCAACTTAAATCACAGTCTCCACGATGCCAGAGAATGAGAACATATAGGAAAAAGTTATGGGAAAAGGCAAAACTTACGTGCTAACTTAGTATTATAATGTACATTATTATTATGCAAATTATCAAATGAGCGTTCAGGTAGCTACCGTCACGATTGCAGCCACTGCAGATCTGCTATTGAAATTGCGAGGTGACCAGCTAAGCGGATCAGTCGAAATCAAGAGTTTCAAGATGACGGACAAGGGTGGAAAAACAGGAATGAATGAGGAAAGCTTGGGAAATATAATCAAAAATGCAGTACAGACGGTATGCCTCCCTTTTCTGCTTTGCACGTTTCAAGCCAAACATTTACAGATGGCGAATAATGCACTGCAGAAGGGTGTCAACATAAAGATTTCTTCAGGTGGATTAGGAGGTCTTCCGATCAACATTATTAACCCAGAAATCCATATCATAGAGCATGGACTGCACATTGGTACTGATATATCCGTTTCCCCATCACTTCTAGGCGGTGGAGGAGGCGGATGTTGGTACCTAAGTTAGATAGTCAGTAAAAAATAAACTTGAAAGAAACCATGATGTTTTTGATTTCCCTCTCTGGATAACCACAATAACGATGTCTGCCACAATATTGTCCATGATCGTGTCTCTGTTAACACAGCCATAAAATGACACTGATGATCGCCTTGACATGCGTGATTACGACAGATCCGACATGGGATTCCAATCGACTATTTTCTAGTGCCACTCAGAACCATGCGACTTATAAGAAGTTTATGAGTACTTTATGGAGTAATAAAGTTTTCAGATATCGATGAACATTACTAACAAGGGAATGAAGGTGGGTCGAAGTGGCCTTGTAATATGATATGTATACTGACTTGACGGGCTCGAGACGCTGATTCCAAATCTGCCTTCGCTATCTGCTGGAGGCCTCTGGGTGAAGAGTTATGAGGGATTTTCGGGGCCGCAGCGGCAGAGAAATGCGATCGACACCGGCAGTGCATTGTGTGCCTGGTGGTCGAGTGGTTAGTGTGACGGTCTCTGAAGCACATGCTCCCAGGTTCGATTCCCCCCAGGCATTTTCCTTTTTGCATTCTTGCAATAAGTCCATACAGATGCAAGATTCGTCTCCACGCAATCTTTTGCTTCTTTTATGGCAATTTGAGCCGGATTTCCTGTGTTTTCGGAGACTTGGCAAGGGTTATAAAACAAAGGGAGGGAGGCCAGTAAAATACAGTTTGACACGTACACACGTGCTTGGGAAAATAGCAAGGTACACGTACACACTCGCCGAATATGAGAACACAAACAACACTCAAACAAATTGAAATTTACTGGCCTCCCTCCCTTTGTTTTATAACCCTTGCCAAGTCTCCGAAAACACAAGAATTGCCATAAAAGAAGCAAAAGATTGCGTGAAGACGAATCTTGCATCTGTATGGACTTATTGCAAGAATGCAAAAAGGAAAATGCCTGGGGGGAATCGAACCTGGGAGCATGTGCTTCAGAGACCGTCTCACTAACCACTCGACCACCACGCACACAATGCATAGCCGGTGTCGATCGCATTTCTCTGCCGCTGCGGCCCCGAAAATCCCTCATAACTCTTCACCCAGAGGCCTCCAGCAGATAGCGAAGGCAGATTTGGAATCAGCGTCCCGAGCCCGTCAAGTCAGTATACATATCATATTACAAGGCCACTTCGACCCACCTTCATTCCCTTGTAAGTAGCCGATAAATTCGCACCCCGTATATCCTGTCCGTTAGAGTGACATCTGAAATTGATTATGAAGTTGATAACTTGGTTACGACAAGGGTGTCGCCCTGGGGGTCTGTCAAGGCAGTTTCTGTTTTACTCAAACTGAGGCTACCTAATCTTGCGCCATCCTGATCGATAAAACCCGCAAGCTCTTTGCAAAAGGTGATCCTCCAAAAACTCTACCACGCCTCATCACTGCGACTCTTGGTCGCATGCATCCTACAGGTAGTAGAAGCGCGTTCACACCTGTCCTTTCAAGGAACAACGGCCTTAGTTAAGCGATAGACTTGCAGCCCAGCTCGACATATGCTGCTAAGTATGGTATCACTTCCAGATATCGCACTCTCAGACAATTTACGGGAACTTTGGGCTATGGAGGAACTTTCGGCAGGACACCTCGGAAAGTTCCCATAAAGCCCTCGGGAAGTTCTGGAAATAAGCTTTCGGAAACTTCTGTAAAAACGAAAACTTTCTGAGGACTTCGTTACAGAACTTCCCGAGGGCTTCAGATGGACCTTTGTGTGGCTATACAGAACCTTTAACAGTAAACCCTGCTTCTTTCGAACCGTACACCCACTTCAGCTGCTCAGGTGAAAAATACACAAAACACAGATATCCTTCATCATTTATTGTTAGAGCACATATAGAGTACATTGAACGAAAGGCACCAAGAAAAATTACAATGTCTGTATGATGCGGATGAAGCACCATACTGAGATATGAAGTAGCATGTACTGACGGTAAGCGAGCGCAAGCACAGTGAGGATGAGAAGAGGCTATTGTGTGATATGGCATCAAAAAAATGAAAATTATGGGATGGACGCGTGAGACTGCAAGATCAGATCTCCTTCATGTGCACCGCTTGTATTTTCCATTCCGATTTCGTCATGCGTGCCTTGTCTTCTCCACCAAAGCCGACCTGCGTAGTTTTGTATTTCTGAAAAAAACGTAAATGCGTAAGATAAAATAAACAAAGTTCATACCTTTGATGGCACAAGTTTCCCTTGGCGCAAACGGTGATAGCGAATGTCTTCGCTGCAAAACTGAATTTAGAGGGAAAAATCAATGTTGTTGGAAAATTTACAGTGCTTCTGCAATGCAGATCCTGATTTTGGAGCAATAAACTGTTTTTTGCTTTAGCAGAAAGTCGAATCCCTTTTCGCGTTCTTCCTCGGATTTGCCCAAGGATATCTAAAAACTGGAATTATTTAAGTAGATAAAGGTGGCTTTCGAAACGTCAACGCACCTACTCTGTGAATTTCCTATCACATCTAATCTGTATCCCTGCAATTCCTCGTTGCCGAGATCAAGCGCATCAAATAAATTCTAAAGAACTAATTTACCTGAGAACTTTTTGCATAAGCATTGTACCGTTAAGAGCGTTTACGATAGACTCGGGTAGATCTTGTAAATCTGGATTGCGCTACACATTGGAAGTGCGATGTGCAAAGTTCTAAATGTCTGAGGGATCTGGTCCACAAGCCTACAAATTTCGCTTTGTAATTCATGCCTATTTACTTATCTATATCTTACTTATTATATTATACATTAGCTAGTGTATCCAGCTTTGCCCGGCTACTGTATGATGTGAAGGTGTCATGCTATGTGAATGATAATTTTAGCAAATATGGCACGGTGGGACCCCAGCGGGTGTTCCGGAATTTCAATATGTGTTCCTTAACACACATCGCATTGAGGTGACACAAGTATGACACGTATACTATAGATAGGTATCGATATTATAACAGTTACCTATCCTTCAGACGGCGATAGAACAGTTCTGCGGAACTTTCCTCAAATTTAAATCCTCGGGAGGTTCTGCATTTTGCAGAACTTTCCGAGGACTTCCTCGGGAAGTTCCTAACTGTGTTGCTTTTGACGTCAAAATTTTCGGGAAGTTCCCATTTTTATGGCTCCATTCACTTACGTGCTAAATGAAATCCTCGGGAAGTTTGGCAAATTGGCCTGCCCCTCGGGAAGTTCCCGTGATTTGTCTGAGCATGATAAGTTTGCAGTCACCTCACCGGTTTTAACACGCACTGCTTCAGAGTTATAGTCTATGCTTGTCCTTGTCTCAAAGTGCTGTTATTTTTTGCAAATCAGGTCTACATTGAAAAGCAACCTCAAATGTGTACTCGGGGAGGAAGAGAATGGCTTTTGAGATGTAAGTTGGAAGAACTTGGCAAACAACCTATTGAAGCAGGCCACATCGCAACATCAGGAAAAAGTCTTCAGAGATTGGCGATAGTTTCACAAATTTCGGTCCAGAACTGTCTTACTGCGGCTATTCTGCAACTGCTTTTTTCATTTAACACAGTATTTTCCTAATGGTTGGAGCAATTGTGGTTTGTTCTTTTTCTACAGAAATCCAAATCCACTCTTCAGTCAAATCTAAGCTTTTTTCAATAAAAAAACTCCTTGACAACAGCGGTATAGATAAGTTCAGCAATTCTGGGGTAATGCATTGTTTTCTAGTAATGACTACTATTGAGCTAAGCTACTGAGAAAAAGAAAGTAAGATAAAGCATTTTGAGTCGGTCTACATAATGAAAAACAGAATTTTATAAATGAAACAATGTGCTGCATTGCAACGATTAGAAATTTAAAATTTTCTAAAATGGGATCTTAGAAGAAATAGCAAGCTGCTATAAGTACTTCATGAGCTTCGTATATGCAAGGCGGAATAAAAGACATCTCAAAGCAAGTATGCACAAGTACACAACAGATGTTCAGATACAAGGATGATCTCATAATCTGTAAAAGAGTTTAGATTTCTTCTTGACAATAGCAGTATAAATTTCGCCATGCTCGACTGTTAGATCAGCGGTCTTCAGCAACCCTCAAAAATTCTCCAAGTTCTAAGGTTGAAAACTCGCATACCTGAAAAGAAAATGTTCACTAAATGCTGCTGAAAGCAATGCTCAAACAGTTTGAGTTTCTCAAAACATCCTATCCCCACCATTCACTAATTTTCCTTTTCTTGCAATTCAGCTACTCTTTATCTGTACCTAAGTAATCCAGCAAACAAGAAAATCGCTCCAGATGCTTGGAGAGAGTAAATGATTATCTCAACATGCTCTTCGCCGAATGATTAGGCAGTTTTGGTTAGTAGACTGCTAAATAATGGGATGACTTTATCGCTATTTATTAGTTTCTATGATCTTTTCACAAAAACATACCATTTGTTTAGTTCATTGAACTCGTCATAAATGTTGCATTATTTGCTTGTTTATATAGGGTGCGGAAAAAGTACTGTCCCTCAGTTTGCCTCATAAAAAATCTCACAATGGAGAAAATCTGTAGTTTTTAGATTTCTGCATGTAGGCAAGAGTTTGCAGATCCGACTAAGATAAGTTTGATTGGAACGGTTTCCTTCTCTTCATTTAAACGAGTGATAACTTTGAGCAGCATCATCGACGATGCGCCGCAGCGTTTGGACTCAGTTTTGGTCTGTGACTATACTACCACCAGGAGTGATTTCAACTTAAAATCAAGGTAGTATGTAGAGCAAAATCTCCTCACCAAAATTCTGTACTTATTATGGATCAGTGACTTGAAATTTTGGCTAAACAAGAAAAATTATATCCCAAGCGAATTCCACAAATTCCGAGAAGATGGTAATCAGATCTGCTCTTGTTAAATGAATTGGATCCAGACTATGGTTCGAAACCCCAGATTTAAACAAAAAGTAATAGAAATAACGAAGAATCGGACTTTGTGCACATCATAATTTTGAGTCACTAAACGATTGTGCTTAGTTTGTGCCACATTTTCTGGTCGCACTCTGTTGCGCCGCAGACTCTAATTCGGTGGAATTTCCCAACTTTTCTCCTACTGCAACTGAGGTCTGGCTACTTCCAGCATATTTCGAAGACACTACAAAATTCCTCAAGCAACAGAAGACTTCTCAAATCCACGTTGAAAACAAAAGAATTCTCCAAAAAAAACTTCACACTTCCTTTGCATTTGTAGAAGACAGTTGCAAGATTTGATATGGGATGCGCTGCGAAAGGAGATCCGCCCCCGGGGGAAATCAGTCTTTGTAAGATGCTAAATTAGAGTTCGAGTTTTGAGTTCTTAAAAAGGCAGACAAGAACTCTGAGTCATAGCACTAACTTGTACAATCACACTTACAGATATATAGATGACATATTACATGTCTCTAAAGATGCTTCGCATTTCGAAAGAACTATAAGAGAAATCTATCATCCTTCTTTACAATTAGAGAAAACTAACCTTAGCTTGACAAAAACAAATTTTCTAGACCTTACCCTCAAAATTTCTAATAATAAAATTGAGTTTAATATGTATAATAAGACAGATGAATATAATTTCAAAGTATTTAGATATCCACATTGGGAGTCAAATATTCCCAGGTATATATTGTACAATACTTGCACTTCAGAAATTCTTAGAATGTATAGAAATTGCGCTAATTATGCACATTTTAAGGAAAGAGTAATAGACAGCTAAGACTTTGAAAACTAATGGATGGGAATATCGTATTTTTATTAGTAAACTTTATCATATACTATTCGATAGACCACTCATAATGCGTAAGTACGGAGTTCCTAGTAACATACATTTGCCTCTTTTACATGACCTACATGACACTTGGGCTCACGCTAGCGCGCTCTGAGGTCACGGCGGGAGTACTCCAGTTTGAAAAAGAGGTCGCTATTTCCTCGGATGACACTTGCCATTTATTTTGTCGTATGCGTACATGTTAACGACTTGCACCTTCTTTACTCAAGTTCTTTATATGCCATTTTCTGTTTTAGATCTTATCTTAGATTTTCATTTGATAATTTTGAAGCTTCCTTGGGAACTACTGACGAGGGGCACCAAGGAAGCCGCACTACCGGTATAGTTCTAAGCCCCGAAACCGGATAGTGTAGAAAATGAACAAAAAGGAATTGAATTTCTTGCGTTCCTAATTAGTATTTATCAAATTCTTTTTCATATTAAAAACCACAAAACAAGTTGTTACATCCATATCTTAGAATCTAATAAGGAAAGCTACCTAAATAAGCTCGGCCTTTTGGTAAAAGGCATATACATTCTGAATCAGCTTCAAACGCTGATCCTAAATATGCTATTTCTAGCTGCCACGCACCATTTCAAAGCGAGTTATGGGCTTTTTCCTAGGCACAACTGGCATACTACTGAACATAAGAAGACTGCCTGTAGATAAAAATCTGCAAGAAAAAGGTGCTGAGGTATCGAGGTAGTACAAATCCAATCTTTTCTCACTAAAGAAAGCTTAACGCAGGAGTATCAGCACATAAATGATGATGACGTGATGCTCGTGAGTCGATGAGTATGCCAATTTTGCGCAGAAAAAAGCCCATAACTCGCTTCAGAATGGTGCGTGGCAAGTAGGAATAGCTTATTTGGAATTAGCGTTTGACGCTGATGAACTCTACATATGTATCTTAGCAAAAGGCCGAGCTAAGTTAGGTAGCTTCCCTTGTAAGTAAAATTTACCAAAACTCAGGAATCACGCCGATTTTTTTGCCCTTTATTTTGAGGGACAGTATTTTTTCCGCACCCTGTATAATTGCAAACAAATGTTCTAATGTTCCCTCTGAATTTCTTTTCTAGTAGGTACTTCATTGTATACGGCCGACCCGCGGCTTTAATTCGATGTGGGCCTCGGCTCGGCCGATTTTTCTAACAGAGATTTAGGTCCGCGGCTCAGCCGCTGCAAAGCCCCGCCCCACATTGAGGTCCGCGCCTGGGCCTAAGGCATAGTGGCCACATTCCTGTGGAAAGACAACTGTTACACACTAGTTGCATGCCCTCTTGTCTGCTACGGTGGTTGTGTTAGTCGTCTGGCGCGACGGATCCTAGACCATTTTTGGCTAGGGCATAGTTCTGCAGCGATAATCGCCGCGATTTCGGCAGAGCCCAGCGATGTCGCGTCGCGCGTGCTGCACAGCCGACTGGGCGATATCGGCGATAGTGCAAGAACTGTGCGGTTCAGTTCCGGAACATGGGAATCAGTATGAACCCAGCCATAGGACAAAGAATTTCAGTCTCATACGTCCACTTACAAAAATTTGTATTTCGAGTAAAGATTCACATTAACATACAGTCGAGTAAATTTTCCGCTTAATATAGTGTGCTTGCACAGAAGGTGAAATGCGGTAAAATTTGCGCGTGAGGAATTAGCTTCGACTGTGACGCCGGCCAATTGCGCGCGTAAAATGCCGGCAGTACTAGCGCAGCTACCTGTTCACGCGCAAAATTTACCGCATTTCATAAACTGTGCAAGCACAAACATTGAGAAGAAAATCTACTCGACTGTAAACACTTTGACTTTTATATATATACCAGCCGCTCTCTGCCGCTACGCGGCAGGTTCGGCTGGCACTCGGCAGCTTCCAGCGCCGAGCTGTTACAAATGTTTCGATCGATACACGTGCATTTCGTTCGAGGTGGGGCTAGCTGACCCTGTGTTGGCAACGAAGCTTTCGACAGAGAATTCGATCAATATTCACTGCTGAGCTGGCTGAGAACTACAGTCTGCCCCAATCGGGATCAAGCCGAACCGTCGGCTGAATTTGCGCGCTCGCAGCGCTAGGGTTTTGCGCTGCATACGCGAGCTGTCGCAGAGACGAAGAGATTGAGGAGAGAGCAGACTAGCTAGACGCAGAAGTGGCGCGAAACCCTCGCGACGCGCACTCCCGCCAAGCCAATTTTGGCCTGGTTAGGATTGGGGCAGACTGTAGGTCAGCTAGTCCCGCCTTACACGAAATGCACGTGTCTCGATCGAAACAGCGCCGGGACAGCGCGGCGCTGGCGTGGCTTCGGCACTCTGGCGGGAGCCATAGTGCGGAGATGCAAGAAATGTAAATGGGGTAGAGGAACGAATACCTCAATTCGGCATAGCCTCCGCGGGCTGCTGGTCCTTTCGTCCTACTGCTGTGCATCGTGTTAGGACCAGCAGTCCGCGGAGGCGGTGCCGAATTGAGGTGTTCGTTCCTCTACCCTGTAAAAAGTAGTAACATCCCGCTCGCCCCGAAGTTCATGCGAAATTTGGTTCAACTGGAAAAAAATCAATAAGTCGATGGATGCAACTGATGTATCCCAAACAAAATCGCTTATTAACACACGCCCCACCCTATATGTTATGTATACCAAATTTGGTTGAGATTCCATTACTCCTTCTATTCTTTTTTGGGCGAACATAAAAAAATTTCCTAAGCAAAAACTGCAAAAAATCAATAAATCGATAGAGGCAATCCGCATATCCAGAACAAATTGGCTTATTAGCACACACCCACCCCATACATTATGTACGCCAGATTTGGTTGAGAATCCATTACTCCTCCTATCTTTTTTGGGCGAAGATACAATAGTGGCAAATCTAAATAATATAGCATGACTCCGCTCAGGTGTGCAGATGCACGCATCCATCATAGCATTTCGAACACAAATTTGAGCTTGGTTAGAAAGTCTGTACATTGCTAGGGTAGGATGTTTTACAGTTCAAAATATTCGTCGTTATTCCACATTAATTAACCCAAGAAATGAAAACCGGGAACGCCGAGACTTCGTCTAAAGGGGTTACTTTGCAGGCTGATTACGAATATCATATTTACTTGGCACGATAGTGCCATCCAGTATAGTTACGGTAGGATTACGATAGGGGATCAAAACCATGAACTTGCCCCAAACTTCGTCTAGTTTAGTTATTTGGCAAGTTGAACATGAATATCATAATCATTTCGTACGGCAGCGCCATTTTTTTAGGGTTATGGCGGATATCCGGTAGATGACTAAAAGTCGCGAATTTGCTAAAAACTTTGCCTGAAGTGGTTCCTAAGCATGCTGATTGCTTATCATGCTCGTTCGCTGCAACAATCCTTAGTTAGAGTTACGGTGAGCTACAGTGCGCGAAAAGTGATTATCCCGCTTCTCAACCAAATTTACATCCCAAAAACGCACGAAAAGGTTTATCGCGCGAGACGACTGCGATTTACGTGATCAGTGCGTCAGGTAACACTCCTACACAAAGGTTCGAGCGGATGTATCACTTTAGCCACCTACCCTCACCTATCGTAATGCCGCGAAAAGTTCCAAAACGCAAAAAGAGCATGATATCTTTAATCAAGCTGCTTAGGAACCCTTTTAGGCAAAGTTTAAAATTCGGGATTTCTAGCCCCATCTACCATCCACCGTGACCCGAGAAAATGGTGCTGGCGTACAAAATAAATATGATTTTCATGTCTAGCATGTCAAATATTAGGTTGGTCCGAAAGTTCTTGCGCATCATTTTCAAAAAATCATAACTTCCTTGCCACTCGATGGATTTCGTTAAAATTATATACCTTCGAAAAGGGAATCCATTCTCTTTACACAGTACCTTTGCCATGAACTCTTATTTGAAACTTCGAGAGTTACAAACAATTGAAGGAATTCAGTCAAAAATGACATTTCTCGATATGGGTCACGAAAAATTCTGGAAGTATTTTTATATGATAGAGAAAATTATGCTCATTACAATGTTGTCTTTTCCATGAGCTAAGACGAAAAAGATCGAGAGTTAGTAGCAAAAAAGAGAATTCCTTTAGTTTTGCAATTTTTGAGCATGTTCAAAAAGCCTAGATATGTCACAGAAAATGCGGGAAAGCCATGAACATGGGTTTTGTGACCTTCTCTTTCTAGTTGAGTAAAAGCCGTGCTAATCGAGAGCAATTTTCATTTTTGTGAGAAACGCAGGCCCGAAAATCCAACAAAATCACGAAAACAAAACTGTTCTCGATTGGCACGATTTTCACTCGTCTAAAAAGAGGAGATCGAAATACCCATGTTCATGACTTTTCCGCCTCTTCTGTGACGTTTTTAGGCTTTTTTAAGCGTGCTCAAAAATTGCAAAACTGAAGGAATTCTCTTTATTTGCTCCTAACTCTCGATCTTTTTCGTTTAAGCTTATGGGAAAGGTACCTTTGTAATGAGCATAATTTTCTCTATCATACAAAAATACTTTCAGAATTTTTCGTGACCCAGCTCGAAAAATGCCGATCTTGACTGATTTCCCTCGATTGCTTGTAACTTTCGAAGCTGCTCAAAGTAATTCATGCGGGAGACTATTGTAAAGAGCATGAATTTCTTGTTCGAATGGATACAATTTTGTCCAAATCCATTGAGTGGCAGGGAAATTATGATTTTTTGAAAATGATGCGCAAGAACTTTCGGACCAACCTAATATTTAATCCCTAGAGGAAGTTTGGAGCAAATCCACCGTTTTGACTCCTACCGTAATTCTACCGTGACTTCACCGGGTGGCACTACTGTGTGAAATAAATGTGATATTCGCAATCACCGTGAGTCCCCCCTATACGAAGTTTTAGCGAAATCCGCGATTTTTATTTTTTGGGTCAACTGATGTGAAATAGTGCCGCTTTCACTTAAAGGCAGTGTCCGGGCAAAAACTCAATTTCTAGAAAATCCGCTTACCGGGGGTTATCCGCAAACGCTGAATCCGAAAATCCACATTAGAAGGCGCGAAAACGGCGAGAACATAGGTTTTCGACGCACGATTTGAAATTTGGCACCAACTCAGACACTCGCTGCGGCGGCGCGCGCGCCTTATGCGTGCGGCCCCTCATGTCGCCCGCCGCCGGCCGTCAAATGGCGCGCGCGCCGCGAATAGATGGCACGCGCGCCGCGAGTAAATGGCACGCGCGCCGTGACTAGATGGGACGCGCGATACACGATAATGGCACGCCGCTCGCACGGTATGAAAATTGCCATTCGCATTTGAAGCACTGCGAATCAGGGTGAGTTTGTAGCAGACCTGATGACAACCTTCAATTTCAGGCAAAGAATGGCTTCAATTTCAAATATGAACTTGAAGTTTCCAAACCTTGAATTTGAAAATTCAAATCTCAAAAATTCAAGAATTCAAATTTCCAAATTTGAATTCAAATTCGGCATCTACTTGCGGTGCTTATGAAGACTGACTCTCAGTGGAAGAACTAGAAGAATCCCACTTGTGTTAATGAGACAACTCCATTGCGAAACAGCGATAACCTCAATGAATTGGCGATAAAGCACCCAAAATACTGCGTCGTACTTCACGCAGGTATCGCTTGTGCTTACAGCGTGTGAGAATGCGGAAGATATCATGGCACGCCACTCACTGATAAATTGCGCGCCGGTCGCACTCTCAACTAGGGCGCGCCGTTGGCAATACAGTGCTATAGAGGCGCGCGCGCCGCCGCGCCGAGTGTCGAATAGGCGCGCCGGCGGCCGTAATAAGGCGCGCCGCTCGCCGGCTGCGAATGATGGCGCGCCGCTCGCACTGCAGCCTCAACTGTGGCGCGCCGCTCGCACGGCAGTCTCAAATAGGGCGCGCCGCTCGCACGGCAGCATCAAACAGGGCGCGCCGCTCGTACTGTAGCGCTATGATGGCGCGCCCTCCGCCGCAGCGAGTGTCTGAGAAGGCAGGACGCAGAGTCGCTGCGGGACCCTACATTTTGACTGTGGCGGCATGCTTACTCTGCGCATAGCGATTCGGACAGCTCGGAGGCGTAAGTCTCCCACTTTCCGGTCGTTTTTCTTGTTTTGGGTCGAGCGTTATGACGTTGCACTTGATGTTGTGTCTGAGGGGGCCACTCTCGCATGGCACTGAAATCCCAACCCCATTTTGCCCGGGGACTGCTTTCAACATTTAGACACAATCACTAAGCATCCATACAAATAGACCAGTACATCTCGAAGTCAGTTGAACTGCGCAACAAATGGAAAAGATTTCAAAGCTCTGCAAGACGGCCGCGCAGCCGTCTCGCAAAGCTCTGAATATTCGGCGCTCTAATCAAACTGCGTGCTCAATCCGCGTTTCCGGGACATTAGGTTGATTTTTTATTGCTTTGAGCTCAACCAACCAGTCAGCTGACTTTATCCATTTCATATCTCGTGCCATAAGTTGCAGTTGCACCGTCTTGAGCAATCAATATTGTCCAGTATCTTTTTGTTTGCAAGAACTTTTACATCGGTCTCAAAAATAGGTTCATTGCACCTACTCTTTGTTTCATCAAACGTGTTTCTCTGCATATTCGATCATGACTTTTCTGCATAGGACTTAGTTCCAGGATGAGGGACACGTCCCAAAGTAATGAAATCGAACAAATGCGAGCGACGGAAGATGATGATGAAGACGTTATCGGGTGTCTGCCAAGAGTTTTATGTAATAGCCACCGTGAAATTCTTGAGAACATAGTCAATTCATTGCCGAAGAGTGTCGAAAGCGGCAAGGAAGATGTCCTTGATGTGAGCTTCATTCAAAAGTATTTTGATACCGTTGAATTATCATTTGTTGCTGTTTTTAGAACGACTTCGATCGCTACGCTCGCCTTTTGGATATCTATCAGGAGCAACCGAATCTCCTTGACAGCGTGATTCCATCACTTTTGCGGACATTAGAATCTTACATCACTCTTCCATCCTCAGGCAAGTATTGTTTTGTGATCGTTTGCTAGATACTTCAAAACAAACTCTTTAGGAAGTTCTGACAAGACGCTGAACAAGTTATCTGTGACTTCTCTGCATTACATATCACATCTAACAAAAGTTCGTGGCTATAAAGTGATTGTCAGACTTCTTTCCCACCACGTGAGTCTTATAGATACGATACTTGTTTCTCCTTATTCTGTCTACCTTCTACTGTTACCTTTTGCAAAATGCGGTATGTTTCTTGCTTAGTTAGGGTCATTTGGTCTGTGTGCTTACAAGGGAATGGTCAGAAGTCGAAGTGGCCAAACCAAACAAGCTGTATATCATTCGATGCAGTATAAAACGCTAACTTCGAATCTGTCTTTCTTATCTGCTTCCCGCTTCTGTGGACAAAGCTACAAGCGGTTTTATTGTGAAAAAATCATACATAAAAACAGCGAAATTGAGCACATTGTTGCACTTTTAGCTCGGCTTCTGGCTTCAAAAATCTTAAGTAAGCTAGCTGCATGTTTTGGCCCAGCATTGAGGCGAACGAGGCTCTGTACGACTAAATTTTCAATTTCACGCATAATTTCTAGGCAAAATAATAGTCTTTAATAGCTTATAATTTCGTCCAGAAAAGCGATAAGCAGATAAAGAAGACAGATTTAGAGTCAGCGCTTCATGCTGCGTCTAACCCTACGCAGCTTGTCTGGAATGGCCACTTCGATTTCTGACCATTCCCTTGTTAGCCTTACTAAACATCAAACACGACACGCAAAACAGTGGAAATGGTTATGCCTCATATGAGTTTAGAGGGTTGACAGCACTCGCAGTTTCATTGCAAATACTTATAGTTCTTCTTACAAACTCTTCTATGCAGTGTGTTTTACTTGAATATTGATCATTTTTCAGGTTTCCTACCTCGACAAACTTTTGACTGCTCTTGAACAATATCAAAACAGTGTTGGAAGTGATTTGTTTGAACGTCATATGTTGCTTTTATGGTTATGGATTGTATGCAAGAATCCATTCGACTTCCGAAGGTGAGCTGTGGCTCTATTTTTTGATTTATCATCAACTCTATGAGCAGATTTGACCCACCTGATCAGCCTGGGTCGACGTTAAGTCGTATTCTAGCAGTGGCCACATCATATTTGAAGTATCCGTGGGCTACCACTCATGTGAGTTTTTCTTTTTGATAAATTTTGATTGACCACACTTCTCTGTTCATCATTTTTGTCACTTGAACACCCACGTTATCCTCTGTTTTTTAGCCTGCTGCCGTTCTCGTCATTGCTCAGTGTCTTGCTCGTCATGATGGAATACCCCTGATCCCGTCCATGATTGAAGAGTGCAAGAATCACGTGATTAACAACTCGCCAAACCTTTTGGGCTATGCCCTGTTACTCTGTGCCATACTCAAACATGTAAGTTTGCATCTAATGCAGTCGATCAAAGCTGCATGGGGTTTCGAAAGAGTCGCTAGATTTAGGTGGACAGGCAGCACCTTCTGCCACATGTGGATATGATACGCAAGGCAGCTGAAACGCATTTCCCATTCAAGAAATCTGTGACCGACACATTAACCAGGAAAATATTCATCAAAATGGTGCAACGACTTGCTTTGGTTGTGCTACGACCTAGACTGGCCGCCTGGAGATACCGGTACGTCAGTCAGTTATAATTTTGTCATTCATTTTGAAACGTCTAGCCGAGGAAAGCGACGTCTTGAGGAGAATCTTAAATCAACAAAAACGAATGGGAATGCAGAATTTTGTCAAAACAACATAAGTAGTGGAATGGGAGGAGAAGAAATTATCTCTGATGATGATGAGGAAGATGAGAATCCTGACGCACTGGTGTGTCAAGAACATATTCTGTACACATTTTTATCTTTGATTTTAGGTGGAATGGGCTATTGGTTGTGTGCTAAGCGCCTTGTCCGACGATCACACCACTGTGAGGTGGTCAGCTGCCAAAGGTGTCGGACGTATAACTGCGCGTCTTCCCAAGGAATTAGCTGTGCAAGGTAATTGTTAATCCACTCTTTAAGAAGTTCAAGGAAACACCGATTTTACAGTAGTCGACTCTGTTCTTTCTACGAGTTTTCATCCTCTGGCTGGACATTGTTCGTGGCACGGAGGCTGCTTGGCATTAGCTGAACTATCACGGCGAGGATTCTTGTTGCCTGAAGCACTCGACAAGGTCGCTTCCCCTTCTTTTATATTGTTTTGCGAATTTTTATGTTAGTTATTTCTAGGCATTCCCTATCATACAGCAAGCACTTTTTTACGAAGAGCCTATGGGACGACATGCTCTTGGGAGTAATGTTCGCGATGCAGCGTGCTATGTGTTTTGGGCATTCGCTCGAGCGTATGAGCCTGAGCAGCTGAAGAATTTCATAGACGATGTGGCCACTAGTTTGGTGAGTGGGACGACCCATATTCGCAGCTTTGGTGTTTCTTTTATCCGAATCCTTAGATGTGCGCTGCGTTATTTGATAGAGAAGTAAACCTACGCCGAGCAGCCTCTGCAGCATTCCAAGAAAACGTCGGCAGACAAGCAAACTTTCCTGATGGAATTGCGTTGCTAACTACAGGTATCTTTTAGGTAATGTCCTTCGAATTTTATAATGTTCCTGTTGTTTTAGCGGATTATTTCGCGGTAGGAAACCGTTGGAGATGTTACACAAAAGTTTGCGCAGAGGTTATACGCTTTCCCAAGTATGCAGACGCTATAGTTGACCATCTTCTCGAGAACAAGGTAAACATTAGCATGTGTGACGTCTCTTTTCTTTTCTATTATCTCATTTATTCAGATCATCCACTGGGATGAAGTTGTGCGGGAACAAGCTGCTATAGCTCTGAGCATCCTCGCTCCTTTACATCCTCATTATCTATCTGCCAGGCTAGGAAAGCTTCTAGCTGGTTGCAACACATCAAACCCTGTGAGTTACAAACCTTGATCTCATGATTTCATAATTCCCTTCCTCCTTAAGGTCCATCGTCATGGCTACTTGTTAGCGCTTTCACATTCCTTACAAGGTCTACTGTCCGCTCGATACACTTGTGATAAAGAAGTGAGTGGTTCAGAAAGTTTGAAATGCTAGTAGTACAGTCATTCTCTTACAGCTGTTGCGCCAAGCTATTTCGTTACCTTGCAAACTCAAAGCGGAAAGCGAGAAGCTGAAAGTTTCGGGAGGAGAGTTGACGCGTCTTGCTTTATCCGCATTCATCCGATGTCTGTCGTCTGTCCCTGTACAGCTAGATGCAAATGAGGTTTGTTGGGTCTTAAAGAACAGCTAGGTGTCATGCATATGTGACAGTCGGCGCACGCAGAGAAAGCGTCCATCGTGGACACAAACTCTATCGCTTAAGGCAGTGTCCAGGCAAATCTGGGCCTATGGGGATCTCATTTGGAGAGTAATCTTGGTGCCCTAACTAAAACACTGCCCAAGCGGCAGCTCAAATGGTGAGTTCACAGTTGAGATATACGAGTCCAAACTGGGCCGCCGGGGTCGTATTTGCATGGATTCATGGCGCGACACGCGTGGGTTGCGCGAAACTAATTGTCGAGCCATGAATCCATGCGAATACGATCCCGGGTTCCACTTTGCAGGCGGTCTCAACTGTGAGTTCACCATTTGAGCTGCCGCTTGGGCAGTGTCTTAGGTAGGGGCCCAAAATTACTTTCCACATCAGAACCCCGATGTGCAGATTTGCCTGGAAGCTGCCTTCAATATAAAGTGTTCTATCATCTCTGAAATCGTCTACTGTCTCTTACAAACACGAACTGTTTCGTGCGAGCAGCTGCGAACTTTGTTCATAACACTTGAATGGCCAAAGTCATCAGTGAGCTGTGCTTTTTGGAAGCTAGATGTCCAGTGTGCTGATTTTATGTCCTTCAGTTTACTTTTATTTATTTTTGTAGTAGTCACCTCATTTGGTGCACCCGCTAAATTAAACTCGTATTTGTTAAAAATTACTTTTGGGACATTATAGAGAGCTTTGACACTAAAGGGAACGGCCATAGGTTGTCGTTGTCGATGTTGTCGGTGTTGTCGGGGTCGCCGAGGTTGCAGGTCGTCGTAGGACCTCATGATAGACTCCATGTTTCGCGCGCTCTCTAAACTGTTTCTGACCCCGACAACACCGACAACACCGACAACACCAACAACACTGACAACACTGACAACCTATGGCCGTTCCCAAAAGAACCACGATCAGCCTCTCTCTGGTCGGGCCTTGTACCTTCCCCCCCCCCCCTAATTACCAGCCTCAGCTGCGCAGCAAACTAACACATAACGAGATATACATTTATGGGCAAGCACGGAACGACAATACATCAACATCAACAAGAACACGATCGAGATCAATTAGAAGTGAGGATCCTGAATGAAGCACGAGGGACGTACCCAAAGATGATACGTCGCCAGACGTCCATTCACCATACTGCAGTACCGTTCCGCCTCTGGTCTTTATGCCCTGCTCGTCGAGTTATCGCACCACCGATCTGTAAGCAAAGAGCAAGGAGACCTGGGAGAATAAACACAAAGCCTACGTAATAGCTAGAAATTTGAAAAGAGAGAGATCTCATTACTCACCCTGCGCTTTCTTACAGAACAAAATGAGAGTTAATCGAAAAGCGTGAGGAGACGCAAATACGGGTTCATAATATGACACAGCCGCCCTTTCAAAGGGCAAGAGTAGGCGCGGGTGGGCGCATTGTCCCATTTTTCAAACTGGCTTGAAACAAACTGTGAAAAAGAAAGAATGCCCTGCTGCAATGCTGCCATGGCGCTTCGCAAGCGACATGGTGCAGTCTTGCTTGATTTTTAGCTTGTATGGAAGCTTACATTAGCATTTTATTGGAATCAGCCCCCTAACCTGCCCGGACAATGTCATCGAGCTCACCATAAAAGTCAGCGTCACACTGTGTTGTTGCCTCGAGAATGTTTTTGAAAGTTCTGTCATTCTTTGCTTTCCGATGATTTTGTTTGAGTGTTTTTTTAAGTGTTCTTCATCGATTTGTTTCTTTTTTAGATCGTAAATTGGCAAGAACGCTTGCTTGCCTTCGCATGCGACGACACCGCAGCAGTGAGAACTGCTGCCGCTTCAGCAGCTTCTACCTTTTTCCCTGCATATTTCAGAGAAAACGTCTCTGTGAACATAGACGCTTCTGTGAAGGGCTTCATATCGAAGGTTTGATTTTGCTGTTAAACAAGTTTTCTTCTCATCTTATTATGCTTCTAGATGACGAAACCTCGCAAGGAAAATGAACGAATAGGTGTTTGTTCTTTGGTCTCATATCTACCTTCACAGTTCGTCACTGATGATTTGTTTGCCGCTGTCTGTAATGTTATCATGAAGTGAGTTGTAGACAATATCATGTTCTACGAAACTTGTTCTTAGCGCAATGATTTTAGGCCGACCGATGTGGATGCTAAATGGGCATTGGCTCGTCGCTCAGCAGTTGATGCACTGGGAGCCCTTTATACTTCCCAACCCAATGAGAAGTGGACCGGTTTTGTATTTGATGCTCTCTTTCACGCTGTCGATGATTACACCACCGATAGTCATGGGGATATTGGAAGACTGGTAGGGGGATCGTTTTGCACGAAAATTCAAAGACGTCGGATAGAACCAATATGGGTTTTGATTTCAGGTAAGGATGTCGGCAATGTGCGTAATGACGAATTTGTTGTGCCTTCCGCATACCAAAGAAGATGTCTTGAAAAACTATGTGCAACGCGCAGTTCAATGCATGGTGCAGCAAAGTGTTGGCAAAATCGGTCGCATACGTGAGGTTAGTTTCTGCAGTTTACAAATTATCCATATACTTCTGCAACATCATATCATGTCTTTGTAGACTGCATGCAAGTGCATCATAACATTACTCGCTTCAAAAGCAACCTGCAACCATATTGCACATGCACAAGAACTTTCATCAATATATCGCAACGGGCATGACTTTATTCAGGTAATTTTCAACCAGTCGTCCCGTCTTATTTGGTTTACAGATTTTCTAGTGTATAATTCTAGGATTCGATATTTCTGTCAATGACACCACTTTTGCTTTGTGGGGAATATTATCATGACCTCATCTGCGGCTTAGTTGTCTCTGCTGGTAAGAATTTGTTGAGGCCTTTCTTGTAACAGAAAGTCAAAGTTTTGCCATTTCGTAGGCGGAGTAAGCGAAGGCACTACGATGCGTGCCTCTCAAGCACTTATGGAGTATCAGGCATCAATCTCAAAGGATGTGACGGTAAGTTCAGTGTAGATTCCCGCAGCATTTATGAAAAGCTTTTTTTAAATTGAGTTCGTACATTAAGAACAAGATTTCAGTTACTGGAACGGTTTCTTGTGTCAGTGGCGGAATTATTTGATCTGGGTCGGAAAGTGCCTCGAATTGGGAACAGTGTCTTACGCTTGTTGCCTCAAATTCTATCTCGACTGTATGTTTTGGAACAGAATCCGGACTCTTCAAATGCATTGTCCCAAATTTTAGTGCAGTTGACAAAGGTTGCTTGATTTGGAACCCTAGCTGTGCATCACAGTGCTAAGTACAAACGTGTTTTTAGATTGTGAATTCCCGTATTGCTCCACCAGCTCGGATAAAGACGGCCCTTAATGCCCTATGTTCCTTACTAGGATGCGATCGTTCAAGTCAAACTTGGTATGCAGCTACTCAGCTGGTTAGTTGTTCAGTATTCATTTTTGCATCCATACTTGTATTTTCTTTTGTTGTATTGTGAAGCGAGAATGCACTTTCGCTATCGATTAACCACAAATTTTTCATGTGGTACGAGCGCTTTCAAATCCATTGCCTGTGATCAGGCGAGCGGCTGCAGAAGGGCTGTATGAAAACTTGTGCCTGACCGACGTCGATGACCAAGTACAGTTTGCAGCTGCACAGCGCTGATCTATAGCGCTTGGTATTTCATGCGCTTTTTTAGGTATTGATGCTCCTCACTGATACTGTATGGCAAGACACTTCACCTCCAGCGATGATTTCAATACAAGAAGCTGCTCAGACTATTGAGCGCATTATTTTCTCAGATAAGTAAAAGGTCAACCTTCTTATTGCTATTGTAAGTAGTACTTCTTTACTTTTTTTCTCCTTTTTCATTCATCTTGATGGAAGTGATTGTTGTGCACTTTTTTTGCTTATTAGATATCCCTATTTTGAGACGTTGATTTGAGTTTGTTTTGTTTGTTGCACTGATACATTGGATCTCTTCACTCCGCTGATAATTATTTTTGTACACGGGTGATTTCTATTTATGACTCATAAATAAATATTTTTAGATTACGCGTTAAGTTTTGAAAAAATTGTTCATGGCTTTTGTATATATTCAAGAGCATCCCCCATTTCAGCAAATACAGGCATTCTTATATAAGCATCGTTTAAAGATGGATGGGATAGATACGTTATTGGGAGAGCTGAGCTCAGTCATCATGACTAAAACAACAAAAGGAGGAATGACGGAGCCGCAGATAATGAAAGATTATCAGTGAGGCTTTTGATTGATATTTCCCAATCGGTTAAGCTTATCCAACATTTGTTGCAGGGACCTCTGCGGAAAACGTGTAGAATTTGCCAGATTTGGTTATCGAAGTCTTGGAGATCTGCTGCACAAATTTCCTCAGAAATTTTCATTTCAGAACACGCCTCAGGTCCATATAGGGGATAACCATAACTCCTTTCATATGCTTTACTTCAGGGTGTCAAATGGTTTGGAAAGGTCACAGAAGAAAACCAGGATATTGTTCGATCCATGGCATCTGAAAAGCACAAAAAAGGGCGTGGTGAGTTGCAGGTAATTATTTGTGTGTTGTTTTTATTGTTGTTTTTTAAGTCATGCCACCTCCGAATCGATTCCCACCATCATTCGGTTTTCGTGGACCAGCGTAAGTGGTTTCCATGTTTGCAGATACACATCATCTCTCCTTTCAGTAATTACTGTAATGCAGTGTGATAGTTTTTCTTTATTTTTGATTAATTCTCAAATATTCACGATTCGCTTATACTGTTCCAGGCGCTTTCCCTGAAACAGTGTTGTGCGAGTTCATCTCCTTTCTTCGTGAACCACATTGACAATGTGTTAGGGAGAGGCACGTTTTCATTAAAGGGCTTAAGCAATCAAAAATTTTGTTACCTTCGACCTATGACTTTTGGAATCGGACAGCCTCTATCTTGAGTTTGTTGAGAATGAAGATCTAGAGCCTTGCTATTACGTCTTCTTATATACTTGTGAACCAGTAACTGAAGGTGCTTTGCATCCGCGCGCTTGGAGACCGAACCACGGTTTCACGCTATTGGAAGATTTTTGAATTAAGCTAACGATTCTCTATATATTAGACTAGCTTGCTTACCCGGCTCCGCTCGGTCCTGTCAAAACACTGTAATAAAGTTCTCATCCCTATCCCTGTAAAGCTTTTCCCTGTACCCACTGTCACACTTCACTTCCCGTTCCCTGTGTTGTTTTCGAAATCATCATGCCCACTTACCCCCCTGTGCCAACTCCCAGCCCTTCAGCTCAAATTTTGAAAAATCTATAAAAGTAATAGGTAATTCTGAAAACTAATACTGTATTCTGAATCGCCGTGCCCACTTACCCCCCTGTGTCAACTCTCAGCGTCCCGTAGGTGAACTCTGCAAAAAATCGATAAAACGATAAAATCGATATCGATCGATAACGAAAAGTAGCCTATGACGTTACGTATGCCAAGTTTGGTCTAAATCGGTAATAATGAAAATTTCTATTCCGCACATACTTACACACATACGATCGCCTTCACGATTCGTATAGAGGCGGGTTGCGGACTTTCCCTGATTTTAAGGATGGATTTGTTAAATCTCCACGTCATAGCATTGTCTTTCGTACTCTCTCGCTATCAAAAACCGCCACGCTTTGAATTGGCGAAACCCCGCCTCTACGCGAATCGTGGAGTCGATGATACATATCCATATACAGACACACATTCAGCTCATATAAGATTAGGTTGGCACGAAAGTTCTCGGACATTTTCAGACTAGGTCTGCTATTTCTCGAAACCTAATGCATGTGCATCCGATGGAAATATCTTATATATAAAGCTGAATGTCTGTCTGTCTGTCTGTCTGTCTGTATGTCTGTATGTCTGTACGTATGTGCGGAATAGAAATTTTTATTTCTGAACCGATCGGGACCAAACTTGGCACACATATACTTCGGGGCAGGGAGCGTGTCATAGGCTACTTTTCGTTATCGATCGATATCGATTTTATCGATTTTTTGCAAAATTTGAGCTAGGGGGCTGGGATTTTGCACAGTGGGGTAATCGAACATGCTGATCACCCCCGTGGGGGTGATCAGCATGTTCGATTACCCCCCTGTGCAAAATCCCAGCCCCGTAGCTCAAAATTTGCAAAAAATCGGTGAAATCGACATCGATCGATAACGAAAAGTGGACTATGACACGCTCCCTGCCCCGAAGTGTATGTGTGCAAAGTTTGGCCCCGGGCGGAGCCGGGTTTGCCATCTAGTCATTCGATAGAGCAAAGCGAGCTCTACAAGATGGTAAGAAGAATAGGGAAAGATTAGGGAAAAATTCATATCTTCGTTCAAAAAAATCCTACGGATCTTCAAATTGTTCACAAAAATTGCACACTATATCAGACACACATATGTACCGTTCCTGTATTCTTTCCTCATCTAGAAATGGAGAAAACGAAAATTTTCATGCCTATATAAAAACGAAGCTGTGCTGTTTCCACCCACGTAATTGCATAGTACAAGCCCTTAGTAGGTATGACCGTAAACTTTTAGCCCGCGAGCCCTAGTTTTTGAAAAATGAATTTAGCATGTAACATCCGAGTGAGGAGAGCTCATTTCGGTAATTTTTGGAAACAAGGCCTGTAGAAGCTGAAAATTCGCGATTAAACTTCTAAGGGCTTGTACTATACAATTACATGAGTGGGGAAGAGTGTAGCTTCTTTTTTGTATAGGAGACTTCGCCTTCTCGATTTCTAGATGAAGAAAAAATACAGGAACGGTACATATGAGTGTCTGATGTAGTGTGCAATTTTTGTGAGCAATTTGAAAATCCGTATGATTTTTGAACGAAGATATAAATCTTTCCTTATTTCGAGCCTCCAGTACAACTCAGTTTCTGGATGCTTACGCGCGAACTTTTGCGTACCATCTTGTAGAGTTCGCTTTGCTTTATCGAATGGTACCTCTATCGGATGACATGCATTAGGTTTCGAGAAATAGCAGGTCTAGTCTCAAAATGTCCGAGAACCTAGCCAACGCAATACTATGGGAACGGCCATAGTGCCGGCAACGGTTGCCGGGGTTGACGGGGTTAGAGACAGCATAGAGAGCGCGCGAAACGTGGAGGCTGTCATGAGGTCCTACAACGACCAGCAAAGCCAGCAACCTTAACAACCCCGGCAACCCCAGCGACCTCAGCAACGCCGGCATCCTCGACAACCGTTGCCGGCAAGCTTTTACCGTTCCCTATTAGTGCTTGTACTCGCAGTGTCATTGTCTCAAAGATCAAACTTTTAGAGCGTTTGGTCGTGCTCCTACCCCTTTCGGATCAAATCAATCACGTTTTCATCACAGGTAACCAATTCTCGTGAGAAGGTAGCAGTCACCAAAAAGGTCGTTTAGCTCATCCGATGGCTTTCTCCAAGATCACAGCAATACTCAGGGCGGCAGCGGCAGAAACTCCGCATTGCGCAAAGTGGCGCCTGATGACTTCATAAAAACCCAGGACATCCCATCTAAGACAGGTTTTGGGTACGTTTTCGGTTTTTTGGTTTTGTATTATCTACTGGTTGCTGCATGGTTGATGATTCGATCAGCAGCTTTTGTTTAGTAACAAGGCATTCAATTATGCTCCACGTGAATCCACTTCTCGAAGCAGCTCTCCGTGTGCCTCTGCTGATAAGTCAGGCGGTAGGTTTTGAATTACAATATCTGGTTTTCTACAAGCTCATATTTCGTTTGCATTGGGAATAATATTGGTTTCAGACGAAAACGACAGATCCACTGCAGGTGGTGGTCGTCCAGGTTCTGCTACATCCGGACATTATGATGTGAGTTTTGAATTTTTGAAATATATGACCCTAGGCAGAGTGCACGAAGTCCACGCTTGCATGCTGTTCGCATATAACAGTTTCTTTGTCGATTCTTCTGCACGTGCTGCCGCTGTCATTAACATTGTGCATCGCCTCGCCTTCTATCTATGCTTCTACACTTGGATTATTTTCAACTAGACAGAGAGGTGATGCTAATCGTTCTGTCTCAGTCAGTCTGAAGGAGCGCATTAGATCGAAGGGAAAAGGAAAAGAACTACCAGACTTAACTGTCCCACGCAAAATTCGAGATTGAGTTTACGCGTTGAGAGAGAAGATGTAGATGTGGTGAAAGAAGCATGAGAAAAGCCAAGATTTTTGCTTCTTATTGAGATTGGCAAAACATGGGTGTACGAATTGAGACAGATGAGTTAATACGGAAAATAAATTATTTCATATTTTAGTAAGTTCCATTTTAGTTCTTCTTACTTGAAGCATCCTTTGTGTTGCTATGCGTGGGATAGCTCATCTTGGTGCCAGTCATTTTCACCTACTAGTTGGTCAAAGTTGCGCCATATTGAAAAGTCTAGGAACCCGAATAGCGAAGCTGACCATTTGCCGTCAAGAAACTGTTGCAGGCAAATTCTTTTCGTATTTTGCTGTGTGTTCCCAAGATGAATCTGAAGTCGCAATGACGTATCTTACCTTTTTGAGGCCACGACCGCCGTCTTCTCTCCAGGTCCCGCGTAGAAAGCTACCGACGAATCGGCCGCTACGGCTATCTACCAAATTTGAGCCTTTTTTGCTGCCGGCGTCGTGTTGTCTCCGCTTTAATAGATCAGTTAATGCTTATAAGTCTGAATTCTCACACTCCTCAGCTCGGTACTGCTCTCGATGTATTAGGTTTCTCATCTAAGGAGAACATTTGGTCCGAATAGATGGTTCGTTGACACTGAAATAGTATCTCAAGCAGTTTTGTGCTGTAGTCTTTACCCATGGTCTATTATCGGTGATTAAATCAGGAATCTGACAAAAGGCAGTGGCTCGGCAAAATAAACCCCTGTCATATCTTGGTGGGGTAGCAGACCCTCCACTATACCGTAGAGGCGGCATCCTCCATTCCAACATAAGTGAAAATGTTCTTCGAAAGCCTACATCTACGCTCACTCAGGGAGGGCGGGGCTGGCGGGTTTTGAAGCACTTTTTTGGACTTAGATGAACTAGAAGGTGGGTTGAGGCTTTGTGTTGGAGCTACTACCTAACCCACCAAAATTTGACAGGTCCCTCTTGCCCAGCCACTGTCTTGATGAGGCTTTCCTACCAAGTTTTTTGTGTTTCTAGTGATACGATCTTTCGGCGGCCATTCACTTTGAATCAGTACTGTTGCATAGGAGCATGTTTCTCGATCGTGTTGTCTCCTAATGCTCGATCTCTCTTCGTCTCGTCGTCCGTTCTCGCAGTCAATGTGCGATTGTCAATGGAGTTCGCAGCGTGTATCGGCCGATATTATATCCCTCAGCTCATATTTCATTATGCTTCTTTGTGACTTTTCTCGATTTCTTTGCTTTTTGAAAAGCATGTGCAGAAATTAGTGTTAGTGGAAGTACAGAGTCAAGTTTGGACTACATTCCCTTCAGGAACCCGTCCAGTCATTCCGGGAGATGGTTGGCAAACATGCAGTCACCCCAGAATATCCTCCGGGGTTAGGAGTGGGTGGTGCAAATGAGGAAAATATTGACCCATCATTCGCGGTATGTCGTCTTGATGTATGTTTTGAAAACCCTTTGTCTGTGTTATGAACCTCTGCTTTATTTTCGAAGATACTCTTTTTTGCCCTTTGACGTACTTTCTGTATTAGGAGTACTGGGGGCGCCGCAGCCCCCCTCGCTTGGGTTCTGCATCTCTTTCGTAAGCTCTTTGATCATCATTCACACCTGAGCATGGGAGTGGGAGTTTCAATTGTCAATCAAGCATGGAAAAGTGATCAATTGCACCCTCACAAGAAAGTGAGAGCCCAGGTGAGGCGACCGCGCGGTATCTAAGCCGCACGAGCACCCTTCGCTCCTAATGATGCGGAAGATACATTACCGGAGTTGTGTCAACGATTTCAGTGGGAGTGAGGCCATGGTTGACTCATTTTTAGTAATCTGGTACCAAACTCTGGGTTGGCTCAACCTATCGGTTAGAGTGCCACTGTGGTTCAACCTATAAATAGAAGTGACTGATGTTCATCAACGAAGTTTTCAATGCCCAGTGCATCGTATCCAAATCGATAATTCTTACCATTTTCCAGTCATTGTCACAACGATAAGCAATCTGAGTCGCATGCAGCTCTTACTTCCTCTGTAGCAGCGGTAATTATCACAAGGTCGTAGCACCCTAAAAATTTTGGAAGCTTACTCGCTGACACAGACAATGCACAAGTCGTACCGCAGCGTTGGGAACCAGTATGATCTGCATTTTGGAGTAGCTGGCAATTCAAAGCAGGAACTGTGCTATGTCGCGGTAACGGATGTCATTCTTAAGCACCGCTACACTTATTCTAGTTGATCCGTTTGATCCACTACATCCACTGCGCTATTGATCAAATCAGTGAACTGATCAATGCGAAGCGGATGTGTACTTGATCCACTTGAATTGGTCCACTTCTATGTGGATTGAATCCGGCGCGTGCCTTCATAGCCTGCACACTATTGACCCACAATATCATGCGAAGTTCTACAACTGACGTCTGATAGCCTTTCTTTCAGGGTCATCCAGAATCTTTCCACGACATCGCAGCGAGTGGTGCTGAAACACCAGACTATCCACCAGGATTGGGAATTGGCCAGTCATCTGCCTCAGTCCGTACGGTAAGTTCACTGTTCTGCATTGTCGTGGCTCGCCGAGATAACAGAGGCCGTCCGCGCCGGGCGCGGAGAGTGCGCAGGATGTGTACTGCGCATCACTCCTCTTTCTTCGTGCACTCCATTCCCGCGATGTTGCCAAGATGAACGATAGCTGTGAATTATGATACTGTACATCTGCGGTTGTCAGCAAGTTGTACACAAACTTGTACTTTTCAAAGATATGTTTTTCATTGACTTGAAGAAAGGATGGAAATGGAAGAAATAGGTTTATTGAGCTGCCACCGTTTCCTTCAAATTCTCAAATGCCATCATAGCGTAAATACAGATTTTGAAAAGATTTGACCTACGCAACGCATATGTCTGGCACAACCTGTCGTTCGTGTTGGCTGTTTCCCAACACTCGCCGCTAGTTTTATCTGCAACTCTTCCGTCACGAACTATCTCCAGTGAACGCAACACCGTTGCTCTCCTAGCACAGCGCTGACGGCCTATTATACCCCAGTTGTTCACCAGGGCCCGGTGAAGTCGCACGAAATCCCCCTTGAATTTCAATGGTTTTACGAAGTACTCCTTGTTATATAGCGACGCATGCACAGAATAACAGATTTGACGAAAGTGCAGGAGTCAAAATTTTTTATCTTGTTTACAATGTCGACTGCAATAACTATAGTGAAATAAGCAAAGGTCGAGTGCAACTACGGTCGAGTAGATTTTCCGCTTCAAATACCGCGCTTGCGGTGCCGAGAAAATGCGCCAAAATGTGCGCGTAAGCAAATACAGGGCTCCTAAATTGCAGACGTTTGCACCAGCAGTGCGTAACCGCGTCGCGCTCGGGCATTTTGCCGACGCCGGCGCCATCTATCGAGGCGGCGCCATTGATGCCCGGGCGCGACGCGTTTACGCGACCGCTGGTGCGAACGACAATTAAGGAGCCCTGTAGCTACGCCTATGACGCCGGCCATTTGCGCGCTTAAAATGTCGGCGTTACTGGCGTAACTATTGTTCACGAGCAAGTCTTACCGCATTTTCTTGGCACCGCAAGACCATATTGAGCAAGTTTTCGCTCAGTTGAAAGAGTTGAGGCAATGATAGGAATTGAGTTTTCTTGCTCGAAATAGATTTTGACCGAAAAGTAACCAGAAAATCCAAAACCTATGTGAACTCACAGAACTATAGGCTTATGCGGCTCGGCCATCCTGGTGACGTCTTAGGATATCATCAAATTCGGGAAAGAAAATACGCCACACAGAGTAGAGGACATTAGGTACTCTACGGGACCCGTCACACTTCGCCGAACAAAAGCTTAAAAAGGCCCAAAGTAGCCCGAAAGAGCCGAAACGCCCCTTCCGTTTTGACGCTAAGGCATGTGTGTTGATTTCGCAACCGAGTCTGTTTGCTTCATTTTCTGTCGTCTGCACATCAAAATAATGTTAGAATTCTACCAAAAGTTCGCTCTTGCGTTCCGGCTCTTTCGGGCTTTTTCCGGCTTTTGGGGGGGGGGCTTTTTCGGGCTATTTGGGCTTCTTTGGGCTTCTTTTGGACTTTTTTCGCCGAAGTATGACGGGTCCCTACCCTACGTCGCATGAGGGGGAGGTCCTGCGCGGACACTTGCAACAAATCGAGCGCTTCTACATAATATGACCAGTCCGTGCCGTTCGCGCGAGTGGAGCCTATCGGCGACCTAATGTCCTCTCCCCCGCCGCATAAGTCAACTTTTACACAAAACTTTTGCAAACGATAATCTGCATGTACAATCTAGATTTGATACCAATGCTTGTCTCCGCGCTGAAAACAAGCCATATTTGTTTTAGCTCTGCATTCAGATTGCACGCGCTTTGTACATAGTGGAGCATGTCATTCGTATATCAACTGGTTTTTGAAGCGTTTGTTTTTTTTTTTTGAGTGGTCGCTTACATGCGTTGCATAGAAGTTTTAGTTTACCTCCTTTACTTTTTTGCCTCAGAAACGAAGTCCAACGTGCTTGTACGACTTCTGCACTGGGCCTGGGCCCTGATTATCAACCTTCTCGGCGGCAATAATACTCTGCTCCAGCTACGCCATATTCGAATACTCGGTATCTTCCGAGCATTTGAATTTTGGCGTAGGAGAGGAGAACTAGAGGAAGTTGAAGCTAGTATCCATATCTTTGTTGTAGATTTTACCCGAAACCTCTTTTCAGAAATCTAGTGATAGAGAGCTTACTGAGACCCAACGTTGCAACTTGGAAGTGGCGCAAAAGGTTCGAGACCTCTCTCCATCTTTGTTCGCAGTTGCGTACACTGAGTGTTTCAGGTTTATGACTTACTAAGCCAAACTGAAGGTGGTTTGTCCGTGCAAGAAATTGCCGATAGAATTGGTGACAAATTACCGAAGCGTAATAATGACATGATTCCAACAGCTAAAGTTGGGACGGCAGTGCATGCTCACTCGGAAACGTTCACTCTAAGCGCTACAAATAAACGTGAGTTTATTTTTTGCACACTTCTAATCGTTAGTCGAGATACCTTGTTTTTAGGTGGTATCGTCAAGATACGTGACAATGCTAAGCGGCCTGATGTTGAAACGGTGAGAACAAGATAAAGATAATTTCATACTATCATCTAGCTGGCATTTCTGGCCTTACCCGCCATTGCCAATTAACGCATATAGCGTTTCAGACTCAGAAAAAATATCGCGATAACAGAGTGCTGGTGGTTTGCCCAGCAAAGACTGAGGAAAATGAAAAGACGCAGACATGAGTTCTCAAAACGATATGTTATAATGTAAAGTCCTGCACGAAATCGCCCGACTTGTTGTAGGCTGAACGCACCCGAGGTGCCTGCGTCGCAGCTGCCGAGTACGGGCGCTATGATAACTCATGCGCGAATGCCAATTTTGCCTCCAATAGACTACACTGCATGTTAACGAGGAGCTCACAAGTTCGCAGCTCTTACGCGTACGCATCGCAAGGCTGATGCGCTCCGTTCGCGTGCGTACGGCTTGGGCCCTTGCCAACCCTCGATCGATGACGTCTTTGGGAGCTGGCAAAATGCCCTGCCGTCCGCTCGCGCACGTGGCGCACGGGATTTGCGGTGCGTGCATGCAAATCGAGGACTGCACAAAAGGGAATAGGTTTTTGACATCGCCTGCACGGCAAAACCTATGTTTTGCCCTTTCGCAACACAAGGGGGTGAAGGTTCATTTGTCAGCTATGAACATAATATTGGGAACGCTCCCAGCACAAATTATCCACTGATACAACTGAACAGCAAAGGCCGCCATGTCTCGCCTCGCCCTTCCAAAATTCCTGCAAAAACCTGAATGCATTCTGAGGCGCGCGCCCGTATTCAGCAATCCCGTCTCGGGTGGGTGGATGGGTCTTAAGCTGACGAAAGACCGCATGGTCAAAACAGTGCCAAGCACGCGCCTCACAGAAGCTCCGCCCCGCGTGCTTGGCACACAGCCAGCGTGTTGCGAAATTGCAAAACCCACTACATATTAGCCCGCAAGAGACATGCGCGCGGGTGCTTTCCGGGCGATTCCGTGCAGTCAACGATAGCTCTGGAACGGCGCCTAAAGTGAGTTGGAACTTTGGCCGTGTTCACACTGATCCGTAAGTTCCGGAACAGTTCCAGTACAGCGCAAAATCGAGCACTTCGCTGGAACTGCTCCGGAACTTACGAATATGAACCCAACCTTACTAAAGACCGAAGGTTGAGTTTTTAGTCGCCGGGTCGCCACAGCTTATAAGGGAGGGCTATATGTTGCCGAAAGGAGGTGGTCCCTCGCAGACAGCTGCCCGCTGCACCATTATAAACCCACAGATGTATCAGCTGTGTGCATGGGGTGAGGCCTGCCGGGCATGCATATAGTCTCCTAGTCCAGACTGGGCGGGGCATAAACTTGCGCTCTGCATGTCCTGCAGGCGAACTTTCGTTGTATACTTCTTTTTGATCAAGACAATGTTAACACATTCACGACAATACGACCCACCGGTGGGTCGTACGCGTTCTGCCATTTCGGACAATACGACCCACCGGTGGGTCGTACGCTTTCTGAAGTTTTTGATTTTGCTAGTTCACGGTGAAACTTTTTGGACAAGCCGAGTAAACTTCTGCATACACCTCTTAGAGTACTTCCCAAAAGATTAACACTTCAGACCACAGGGCTCATTAGTGACCTAAAAATATTCCGCAAACTCAATTTTGCGAAATATGCTCTGGTCCGAAATGGCAGTCAACGGAAAATCGGCCCTGTCGTGAATGTGTTAAAAGAATAGAAAGTGATCCCATTTCTCTTGCATTCGCTAGCACAGCGGAAGCCCCTATCCCATACTGTTGTGTTATGTCCCTGGTCGTTTGGGGACCCATATCAGCCACACCCACATTACGGTGGTGCGGTAAATTTGAATTGATCGCGCGCACCATGCGATGAAGAACGCTATCTATTGACTTCTGAGGGTTATCCAGTTCTTCAGGTTGCTGGTGTGCCTTCCATCCGAACCATGGCGAACGATTCATCACGCTCAATGGAGCAGAATAGAAACATTATCTTCAATCCGCCAAGAAGAGAGACAGAAGAGGAGGTATGAATTACGGTTTTTTTCTTTTCGTGTAGTATCACCTCATATCTGATTAGAGTTTCGTTGTAGTTTAGTAAACCAATAGTTCCAAGTAAAGCGAAGCTGACGTAGTAAACGACGCGCACAACTGGCGTCGCTTGCGTCGCTATGCCACCCGAAGTTTTTTTTTTTTGAGTTGAATTGTTTAGGAAGCTTACAATCGCGAGAGAAATGGATTTGGCTTTTCGTTCAGTCAAGATTTAGGTGAGTGTCTACGGCTTTTTTAGGACAGACACTAAAGCCCAGAACTTTTACAGAACTATGTTTAGGGGATTCACAGCACGCAAAGATTACGGGTATCGGCGTCTCTCTCATCGAGCGCTCTTTCTCTCGAGCTCTCATATCATCTCGTATCTCTCTCATGCACGAACTATCTCCACCTGATGCATTGGCGCCCAATCTTTGCGTGCCGTGAATCGTGCATATAGTTCATTGCTAACAGGCTTATCATTACATTCAGGTGGTGCGCAAACTGCTCGCAACCCTCCTCCAGTTGGTGGGCACTCTGGAAGCAGTCGTTTCAGCACACCTTCACTCTTGGTACCTCGGCGACAACCTGCTGACAATTACGATCCATACAGAAAAGCGGAACCCTACCGTTCACCTTCTCCTCGTGAGGCCTTTCGGCCGGTTCATGAGTCCAGCTATAGTGAAGATGACGTTGGGCCAAGAAGAGACGATGATCGCCTACCTTATGAGGATTGGAAGAATCAGTCCAGAGGCGAAAGTGCGCGATGGAATCCACCCAGAGAGTCGGTGAACGGAGGTTTGTGATCTTGCCCCTATAGGTTATCTCTTTGACCATTAATAATACCGAGTGGAGTGGAAGACTATATATCGCCGACCGGCTCGTCCCATCTATAGCGGTGGAGGCCAATTGAGATTACCCAATGATCTACCCTGTCTCACAAGAGAGGGATTGTCAGAAACAAAGTTTCTATGACGCCGCCTTGTTTGACACATTCAAGGCCAGGCGCCCTTTTCGATCAGGACTTCGGACCAGAGCCATTTTGCAAAGTTGAAATTAAGGTTTAGGTTATTTATGAAGCCTAGCGGCTTTACACGAACTACATTAGGCCGGGTACAACCATCAACGATTGCTGGCAGACCTATAACGGAATAACCGCCTTGCAGCTTTACTCCCACCTTACCGTGAACCATCAAATGAATATCTTTTATTCGCGAATCGGCGCCCAAACTCAGAGTATCGAGAGCCGCTGGCAAAGATCCAGGCGGATGGTCAAGCAAAAATGCGGCATTAACAACAGAGTTATGCCGACTATCTCAACGATTTTCTTGAGAATGTTCGGCGCATGAGGGGAATTTTTTACAAGTTCTGGAGGCGGGTAGCGGTCTTTACCCCGTCTATCGCTGACAGCCTTGTCCCAAAGACCCTCTTAGGTGTTACAAGATCTTTACTAAACATTATCTGGATGCGCTCTTGTAGGCGGTAGCACACAGTGCCTTAACACTTCATGGACAAACTTTCGGGCGAGCCGTGGTTCAAGCCCCGTCTTATCCTACCACAACTCCGTCAGATGGCGCTACCGCGCGAAATAAACGTCATATTTGTGAAGCATACCAAACACCCTCCCCTCTCTCCCCCCTAGCGAACTTTTTGCGAGATTGAGATCTTCATTTTGGGTCAACAAATGTGGATTAGCGCCAAAATTAGCGCGAAAATTTTTTTTTCCGTTGTTAGAGGGAGGGCGGCCGCAATACTTTTGTGAGGGCAGCTAAGGTGGCGGTTCCAGGACGGTCCGTCACTCGTATTTACCCGCTGTTTCACGTATTTAGCCGCTGTTTCACTCAGAATGGCCTGACTCAGTCCGGCAGCCTCGCCTTGCCCTGCGCCGCGTTTTGCGGACGTGTATCATTTTTCCAAGCCTGAGCTTGGAAAAGGCTCGGGTTGAGCGCCAACCGTCAATTGGGCACTAGAAAATGGTTAGAGAAACGAAGCGTTAGCGAACGCGGTGCAAGAACGAGCGAGGCGACCGTTTACGATCCGAACGCAGCGAAGAAGGCGGAAACCTACAGTCCTGTCAATCACATGCTCCCTTTTTTATAAACGCAGAGTGCTTCGCGTCGCTTTCGCGCGCGTATGACTCGGGCAGGACTCATCGAGGTCCGCATTTAAGGCCCTGCGCTGCGCATGCCTAGTTCGCATTCGAAAGGAAGTACGTGATTGACACTCACTGTACTGAGGGATTCCCTCCGTGCAGCGATCTTCCTTCGGGCACCAAAGTACAAACGGCGGCAAGTCTAGAGTTCCGCGCGTGCGGCACACATTGAAGTGCCGTCTTCAACCGATAGGCAATGTTACGGCGTGATCTGCCCACAATAGGTTCATCCATGCCAGCGGGCAGCAATGTGCCCGTCCAATCGGCCGACAATGCCACTTGCCATGGAGAGGCCGACAGTGACTTTGTATCTACCCTACAATATTCACACGTTGTCAGCGCAGACGATACCTGCGTGAGTTACGACGAATGTTCGCTGTCCGTAGCCTTGATACTCCAAAATAGCATCAACATCTGGTATGGCGACTGGGAGTGCTTGAATGACCCCTCTGCGTTCAATCAACCTGATCATTGAAAGTGTAATTGTGCTTTACGGGAATTTGGTCCAAGGTTGCAAGGTGGTCGACCCACATCGAAGGTATGAGTCACTAGAACGAAAATACTTGAATTGGTCAAACTATCCGCATCCCATCAACTCATCGGCAACACTGCGAGCGGGCGACCTCTTTTGCGCAAGCAAGGTAATTGTGCGTGCGTTTCACCGTTTCGTACAATTTGCCCCGAGCGATCATACAACCGCTCATCTAACGAGGGATTTATGGTGGTCGGTGGCCGCCCGAACCGTGCGAATCTCTGGGTAGGACCGCAACCCGGTTCTAGAGGCTAGGCGAATGAGGCCTCTGTTCGGCGTCCCTTTGAAGGTATCATCTACCCAAATCTGAGGTTGGTGGAAAATCATCTTATTGTTAAAATGTGCGGTAACGGTAAGAATAGGCGTTTTTTAAAGCCCCTCTTTTCTTTGGGTGGAGCAACCATCATCGCTGAGATGCAGAGTTGCTGTAGGACTTTCATCTTGACTAGGTAACGACATGCACTCCGCTTGTCATGTGAAAATTCCACGTGGGCGAGACTTTTCCCGTAGGGCGTAAGTCTCCCAACTTCCCGAGCAGTTTCTCGCTTCTGGTGCAACGTTTGTTACGACTATGCACTTGTCCGTGCCCTAATCCAACTGCGTCCACTTTTACATGGGGCTAAATTCCCTACCCGACCTTGCCGGGCAGTGCCATTGATGCCTGTCAATAGCTTCATAACTATGGCAAGTCTTCGCGATTTGGCAGTACATGTTTGTAATTCATCATAAGTGTATTCTGAAACAGAAGAGGTTCAGTCTGCAAAAGTTTTACACCTATACTTTCTTACGGTCTGCCCCAGTCCCCATCAGGCCAAACTGGCATGGCGGAAGTCCGTCGCTAGGGTTTTGCGTCACGCCTAAGGTCTGCTCGCCCGCTCTCTTTTCGATCTTTTCGCCCTCCCCGACAGTACGCATATGCAGCGCATGGTACTGGCGTTGCAGGCTGCAAATTTGGCAAAGGTTCGGTCTGATCTCGATTGGGGCAGACTGTATTGCATACAGAATGCTATCGTTCATCTTGACCGCCACCCTTTGGCGAGTTGTGGCTATCGCCAAATAGCATGTCCACTGAAACTGCATGTATCCCGAGGCGAACTATACCACGCCTTACTTAAGGCTGCGTTCATACTGGTCCAAAACTTTATACTGGTCGGACTGCGCGCTGTACTGGAACTATTCCCGAGTTTCCGAATCACTTTGAACGCAGCCTTAAATACATAGTGCTCATAATTGTAGTAAGATGAATTCGCATTGTGTCCTGTATACAAAGTGCCCTTACGAGTTATAAACAGTTGGAGCACTGCCAATCTTGTATTTTTGGTCTTGTGTACACGGCATGCATGTAATGGTCCAAGATTCTTTCAGTTTTTACGTTTGAAAGTGATACTCGTACTATTATTTTATGTCATTTCTTTATGACGTGTGAGAGGACCAAAATTTTCTCGATGCATAAGTTGGGCTTACCTTTCAGGGTTCTCTCAAAGTTCCGGTAGCTTTGGTGAAGAACGTCAAATGCGACGACTTGCCATTCCGTTAGAGCCGAAGAAGTTTGAATGCAAGCATCAATATCTAACGAATGCTTTCCCGGTCCCTCAATTCGAGAACGTAAGTCTCATTTCACAGCGTTTTGCAAGCTTTTTGATTTTGTTTCCGTCTGGGGTGTAGGAATTATTGTCCTTATTCTCTACCATGTGTCTTGTAGATTCATCCACCGATGTAGAGACTTATCGCTTTGCTAAGTGTTTTGAGAGAGCGGTGTTTGTCATTTATAGAGATTATAAGCTTTTATGTCCTAACACAGATGAATTTCTGAAGCTCTGGGAACATTTAGGTTGGCCAGACTTTCATAAGCGTCTAAAAGCGCTCAAAATTTTTCAGCCTCTCTTCACATCTCTCACTACTACTCACATACGTTCCGCGTCAGCGAAGAAAGATTAAAGCGCTTTTAGACGTTCTTGAGCGTTTCGCTTCTGAGCGCTTTCCACCGAAGTCTGGCTGGGCCTAAGATGGAATTGCTGCTCATGCATACAAGCGGTATTTTGGCTGAACGCAGTCTTTACAGCAATCACGATGCGCTTGCACACCTGAATAAGGGTATTCGCAATATTTGACCAGGAAACCTTTTAAGTCTGTTTTAGGTGAAGTTGACTCATTTCATTGCCTTGGACGAATTCTATTTGCGAAGTTGCAAAGAAGAAGGGCGTTATCTTGATATGCTTGACCAACTCAGGTTTAATGCCTTGGTTATCCGATGCGCTAACCAGAGCCTAAATTCATTTTAGGGAGGCCTATAAAGGAGCACTTGATGACGCTGAACCTCAGCTTTGGATGAAAGGTGATGGCGCCGCTGTTCGGTACGATCGCTGTTGGCAGAGAGCTGTCGTTCGCTCACCTGTGTCTAATACGAGCGTGAGTTTCGATCACTGAATGCTCTTCGAGCCAATACTTTCAAGTCCTTCTTTTAAGGAAAAGAATATGGAAGTGTTCCTGGTCGATGTCGGCAAGACGGTGATGGTATCTACCGAGCAAGCTGTACCACTTCACAGCTACTTCCATACCTCACCATTTGCTCTTTGTTGCACCATTGGAAGCTTTGACATCTCTTCAGGGGTAGGCAAAAAAATGTAATATAGGTGGCTTTATCCACTACGATGAGAAACTTGTTTTTTTTTGTGAGTCAATAAATGCAATGTCATGTTTCAGCGACGAAAGGAATTCCTTGACGAATGCGATCTGATGGCAAATTGTTTTGCAGAAGCAGAAGAAGGTGCACTCGAGATGCAGAGCCTAAAACTTGTAGGTCTTACTGTTTTTTACATGTTTTAGGGTTTGATAGCGAAGACCACAAAAATAGTTACAGAATTCTTGGTCATAGTCTATGCCCTGTCTGAGATTTTTCTCATAGCTGTCACGCAACGCAACCTATCTACTGCCTTTGTCTTCTTGAAACATGGGCAGCAAGATTTGAATGCTCTGAACTATACGCGCCATACTTAATTGCTTCATCCGATCCGTCCCTTCGCTGTTGATCAAATCACGAATTGACCAATAGCGAATGGGTAACCCGGATAATGCGATAAGTATGACGCCTGCTTACAGTGCGAAAGGCATGCGAAGCTTTGGACAGTGGGGGAAAGCTGGGACACTATTTAGTGATTTGGAAAGAATGCTCTTTTTGGAATATACTTTACAAGTAAGAGACGCGGATTACATCCATCGAAAAACCTGCGGTTGCCCTACACTTAGTATCGAGAGTGTTGGTGAAGCAATGAAGAATCATTAAAATTCAGAATTCATGCGTCCGCAATTGTCATCCTTTCATTCATTTTACTGGTTTTATTCCTCCTTGAAGTGTCTGAAACGGTGTACGGAAGCCGTATTGAGCTATTACTGGATTTATTTGCAGCTATGGGATGACAAGGAGAAGTTGATGGTGCGCATGATCTACAGAGATACTAGCCGCCCTCGCCCGGTAGACGTGGTCGTTCCCCAGCACTACGTTGATCTAGAACTGATTAGTGTTCGATGATCTGTTACTGCACTTTTTTTCTGTTTGCCCCTTGTCTGCCTAGTTTTGAAAAGTTGTGACAAGAAATGCATGATTACGAGTTTAAGTGTTTCTATGACCGGTGATTTATCCGTGGATTCAGTTAGTTGCGCCATCTGTGCCTTATATGAACTTTGACTGTGCCGTTATCCTTACTTCCAATGCGCTTGAACATCTGTTTTGCCACTGGTTATAAATGTGGATTTTGGACTAGACGTTTATTAATTATTTGTTCTTTCGGTTGACACTAGTGTCCAACCTGTGAAGAGCGTTGGACTATAAGCCTATCATGTTTTCCCTCCCAAGCTTTACTTCTCGTTACATCCTCATATGGGTTACGCTGAAGATTTCGGTGTTATTGTTATGAATGACAGTATTTTGTTGCGTTTGATTCCGCGTGCATCATAATCAGTTAAATCCTTCATTACTCGTTACCACCTGATATTACTGAATTTATTTGGCAGAAATAAAATTTTTGAGAAATAGATGTTTTTTTTTATTCACGCAGGACCATGCAGGGCTCGATTCTGGTTAGCCTTTCAGCCGCGTTCTAGGCTGTAAAAAATTCCAGTAGTCAAGATGGAGAATTGGCCTGCAACCGATTAAAGACTGGGTGGCAACAGGGCTTCTGGAGGCAGACATCCCTGGGCTGGATAAAACAGATACTTGCAACGGTTGTAGATCTGTTCGCTTGTAGGGGAACGAAAGTCGCCAGCTTGGGCCGCCTGCGTGGACTGAACGACATGCAACAACGTTGAGAAAGGACCAATTAGCCGCGAAAAGTGTCTCAAACTGGCTTTCATTCCCCCACCCCATCGCCTCGGCGAACTACTGAACACGATGCACAACAGTAGGACGAAAGGACTAGCAGGCGGCGGAGGCGGTGCTCTATTGAGTGTTCGTTCCCCTACCTTCGTGCCGGTACCCGCCGGTAGCTGTCTGGACCCACCAGGTGCACGTTTGAACCCACGGAAATCGAAACACAAGTGAAAATGCTGTCGAATTACTTGACTGATATGTAAATCACAACGCGCGCGGTATTTCATGCGTGCTCCAAGATGCCAATTTACGTGCATATCTCCGCTTCCCTCCGGCAGGCTCCGGCGGGTTCAGACGTACCGGCAGGTTTGGATGGCTGTTTGCGTGTACGGCGCGGTCTGAAGCCTGCCATAGGGTTGTTTCAGACTATCGCACTGACCTCAGCTGACTGCAGCAGACCGCAACTGACCGCAGCTGACTGCATGGCATTGACCGCAAGAGCCGCGCAAATCGCTGCATCCTTTCGTTAAGGTGGAGAGGATAAATAGTTGTAGCCGAAACAACAACGATATATGCCTAGACTCAAAAGACAACACGACCGAGAGTAAAACATGTACAGGGCTCCTAAATTGCAGAGTCGTTTGCACCAGCGGTCTCGTGACCGCGTCGCGCCCGGGCATCAATGGCGCCGCCTCGGTCGATGGCGCCGGCGCCGGCATGCACGGGCGCGACGCGGTCGCGAGACCGCTGGTGCAAACGACTCTGCAATTTGGGAGCCCTGTATATGCAATTACAGGAAGAATCAAAACAAATACGAGCATACCAAAGAAAAACAATCGCCAAAATCTGATTGAGAAGAGTAAATTAGAACCTATGAGCTTCCTAAGCGTGAAATCACGGTGTTTTGACGTAGTCGCAATTGTTTTCTCTATTACGAAAGGATGCAGCGATCTGTGCGGCCGTTGCGGTTAGCTGCATCAGTGCGGTAGTATGAAACAACCCATAGAGATGAGGAAAATTTTGCCATGGACGACATGTTGGGAAACGCAGGGTGTTGATCCCCGTTGTCCCATCGTCTCCCATTCCGGGCGACTTGACATGAAGATTGTCTCATGCTTTGCAGCCTCAGCGCATGTTGTCGCCTTGCAGGGAGTAAATATCAAGGAGAAGGAGTGACAGTGACTGAAAATCATAGCATCCGTGGAGAAGTTATGCCGAATGGAGGTGTTGTCGTTGTTGTCTAGTCATCTGCCGTCCACCTTCCTTATTTGCGTGAGATCTCATGACCTCAGCTGAATAGCTTCGTGTCGATGCGAAGTCAGTAGATGATCTCACTGACAGTTCTGTTAAGTCAGAGGAGTTATCTACTGCGACAAACCGAGCTATCTGAATGCTCCTCCATTCAAAAATTTCGTTCCGATCACCCTCCTGTTTGGAAAAAAACACGCGCATTGCTACAGGCGATTCCCTTGCGTACAGCGGGCGTGGCCCTGCGGACATTTTAACATGTTGCGAAACTTATTAAACCTCCATTATACTCAGACATTGGGAGCGGACGAGCCGCGGCCTAAAAAGGCCTTTCCGGCCCGCCCGCGGCCTTGATTTGGGGGCGTGGCCGGGGTGCGGCCGAGCCGCGGTCTTTCGTTCATGTCATTATCATTGCCCCGGCCGAGACGCGGGAGGAAGTGGGCTCATCGGCTCAGCCGCGGCCCTTGAAGGCAGCGTCTCGGCGGAATGAACCTACCTCAGATTTTGAAGATGGATAGGAGGCCCTTCAAGTGAACCAAAACAGCAACTCCGCCCCGAAAATGTGAACTCTGCATCAGGGGGCAACCCAACCGCCGCTCCCTTTCCTCCTTTCGCTCCCCTAACACCTTGTTCGGACGAGTATGTTCTCCGCTAGAAAACGCGCCGTCACTCGTAGCCTCGCGTAGGGCAGAATTGTTCTAGCGCTCTCTACCTCCTTACTCTGCGTCTCTGACGGCAGAGATAAATGGCTCACTCGTCCGCGCCTGTCTCAAGGGGGGGGGGATTCAAAGACGGGGTTCTCCCCATTTTCGCATTAAGGGGAGTTCATGTCGTGATTCAGGGGCCGGAACAGTCCCAAATCTGCCAAAATCCCGAAGTTGAAAATCTGCCGAGCCGCTGCCTTCAAAGGCACCGTCCACCCAGATTCTCGACTTCCAGGTTTTTGCCGTTTCAGGGCCTCCTCATGTCCCTGATCCCAAATATGAAGTCGAGAATCAGCGAAAATCCCAAAAATCCCTATTCAAGAGAACCCATAGGCCGACTTTTTGGAACGGTGATTGGATGAGCGCGCACAAATGGGCGGGCATGGATGGGGTCCTCATGCGTCTTCGCTATTCCGAAGCCATTTTCTCGCTTCCGAAGTGGCATTTTGCACCGCAACTTGACATTGGCTTGATAAGAGACCCTACTGTTATATGCTGCTAAAAGCTCAACACCCTCAACTTAGGGTGGACGGTGCCTTTAATGATGGGGCGAGCATTGCAGCGGCTGAGCCGCGGCAAAATCTGCGCAAGAAACTCCGGCTGAGCCGCGGCCCATGTCAAATGAAGGCCGCGGGTCGGCCGCTTCTATTGTCTGAGCGTGAAGGATACTTGCGTGATGTACGAGGCATGGTCAGGCCGCCCTCAATGTCTTGGGGTTGTTTCAGACTGCCGCACTGACCGCAGCAGACTGCAGCAGACTGCAGCTGACCGCACTGACCGCAGCAGATCACCCTGACCGCACTGACCGCAGCAGACCACACTGACCGCACTGACCGCAACGGCCGTAGCGGCCGACCCAAAGGTGGAGAGGATAAATAGGCGTGGCTCAAGCAAACAACAACAATATATACAGGCCCCCGTAAAACCCAATTGCCCACGCGTCGCTTTGAACACCAACGCGCGGCGCGGCTGGAAACATTTGGTCCCGAAGCGCTACAGGCTTTTTTCGAGCGACAATGAGCGCGCGTCCTTTCCACACATATTTTTTTAAACTTTTGAGGGGGGCTTTCGTCGAGATATACCTCGCATTGACGATAACAACATAAAAGTTAAAGAAAGATTTTTTGGAATTTAGTGAACGACGACAGTCGTTCGCGACGACCGCTCGCTTGCGCTGGTGTTCAAGGCACGGCGCGGGCAATTAGGTTTTACGGCGCCTATACCTAAAAGCAAAAGACAACACGGGCTAGAATGTTACAAAACAGGTATATGCAATGATAGGAGGAATTGGAACAAGTACGAACATACCAAAGAAAAACTACCGCCAAAATTCGATTGAGAAGAATTATGATGGGACTTATGATCTTCTCAGGCGTGAATCACGCTAATTTGATAATCGCGGTTGTTTTTCTTCTACGAAAGGAGGAAGCGGCCGATGCGGTCAGTGCGGTCAGCTGCAGTCAGCTGCAGTCTGCTGTGGTCAGTTTGGCAGTCTGAAACAACCCTTGGATGTTCTCCGAGGCGGGAACATGATCATATGATTCTTATGAACAACCTTCGATAGCATGTCGGCGTTATCCAATTTTAAAGTCGGACTGGTTTCCGAAGCTGCTATATCGGTGACTTTGATTTTTGTCTTTTTTTATAATGTATTTTATGTGCCATGTTGCGCCAAGGCTCCACTAGGCCGAGCTAGAATGAACCACGGATGGCCCGACAACCAGCTGCGGCTGAGCCGAGGCCCAATCTCGGGCCGTGGGAGCTGCGAAATTCCAGCCGGAAAAGGGCCGCGGCTCGTTGGAGTTTTTGTACTTTCTCTCAATATCAAAAACTGCCACGCGTTACGTTGGCAAACGTCGGCAAAGCTCCGCCCGCTATACTGTGGGGAATAGACGATGCCTAATGATCTGTCCGTCTATGCTCACCATAACTGCGACCACCAGCATGGACTCGGTTATCGTGAGCAATTGTGATGAGTACACCTCGCGCGATTCGGCCAAATCGCGACGTTCACGCGACCTGGCTGTTTGCCACACGTTACCAAAATCATAGTGCGAGGCTTCAATACATAGGCGCTTAGCTTCTGTGTTTTGTTGCGAACAGATTAAGTTCTGCCCAACAAAGCGCTCTGATAACCAATTACAAACAGTCATTTCGGTGCCGAATCGCGCAGCGGCTAGAATCGCGTAAAGTATACCTTAGGCCTTATGCGGTCGTTGTTGTTGACGAAAATCAGAAAAGAGATAGGATTGTTTTCTTCTTGAGCGATTATTCAGGGTGTTTCAAAAGTAACTGCACAAAAGTAACTGCGCATAATCGTCAATAATTGTCTTCTCACAGAGTCTTCTGCTTATCTTCATGTGCCATTCAGTAAGGCCCCGGACAGACTTCACGCGATTTGATCGTCGCGACTCAATCGCGGACATTTCCATTCATTTTCATTTCACATTCAAAAATTTCGGGCTGGAAAAGTATCACAACCGAAATGCAAGTCGATCGGCATGGAATGATGTTGTAACAGTTGTCTCGTCGCGATTCAGTCGCGACGATCAAATCGCGTGAAGTCTGTCCGGGGCCTAAGGCAGGCTTTAACTTATTGTATCCATACAGTAAACGTGTGCCAAAACAGTGTCAGTAACAAGACATTGCTAAAGTAAAATAGTCTTCTAGCCTGTCACCTCTCGCCGGAGCAAACAAACAGTAAATAAAGACTACCTAAGGTGTTTAATAAGACAAGATTCTATCTAGTTGAG